TCCCCTAGGCTTCCCCACATGGAAGAAAAATATATTTGAAATATATTTTTAAAATATTGAATACATTCCAAAAATGTAGATTTGTAGTTTTTAAAGACATACAGTATATTTGAAAATGTATTTTAAAAAAAAAATATTTTTTTATATATTTTGTAATAAAAATGCATTTCAACATAATATATACTGTATATATGTATATATATATATATATATATATATTTTATTGAAATATATTTTGAAATGTATTGAATACGGCCAAAATTGTAGCATTTCAAATATATGTCAATATGTTTGGGAAGAATATTTTAAAAATATATTTCAAATTTATTGTTCTTCCATATGCGTCCTGTTTGGTCTTCTCTCAGTTTTCCTATTTAAAATTTTGGTTCTTTTAGCAATGGTTTAGATTATATCACACCTACTTCTTGTCAGTTTTATTATTTTTTTGATGCTTAACCCCTTAACGCCGAGCGGCCGCATATTTGCATGCAATTAGAAAATATATATGTGCTGAGAGCGCGCACCCTTCATGCTCCCAGCACATATGTCCGTGACTCATGGAAAGGTCCAGATCTCCCCTTTCGATCAGGACCTTTTCTGATCATGTGATGGCGAATCACGGTGGTCACATGATTGTAAAACCCCGCTCGCCTCCCGACTTCTGAAACTCTTAAAGAGCCGGGAGGCGCCAGCGCAAAGAGGTTAATTTTGACTGTCATAGCAGCAGGCAGAGGTCTTTGAAGGCGGTGCTGGTTAAAATGCATTGAAGAATGGTGAATTGTGTCCATATCAGGTATGGGTCTCCTTTGCCAAAGTTAGGTTATGTTAGTAACATGGTGGTGGTGATTAGACTGTATTTTTTGTACATTGCTGATTAAGCATCCTCAAGGCGGTATAATGGTGGCTCAGGGCATGGGAAGGACTAGAATAAAATGTAAAAATTGTAAAAAAAAAAACGTTTTTTTTTTTCCCCAAAGCCGTTTTTTGTTTTTTGTCTGCAAAATCTATGACATGGTATTTAACTTCTGTAAGATGAAGACCTTAATGAAAGATTTACAAGACTTTATGTAAAGCCTTAAATTATTGCAAGTTCTTTCAGCTGCATGCAAGCAAATCCTGGAATACAATTTAAGTAACACTACTTCTCAATGCAGTTCTCAAACAAGAGAAATATGCATGACATTGCTGACTCTACTACCTTCAGGGGGAGGCTCTGCCATCTTGTCTTCATTCAGATACAACAGGCCCAAGGCCACACAATAAGGATCCAAATCCTCTTCCCAATAATGAATGTCCACTCAGATCTTGCTGTTTCAACAATTTACTGCAGGGGTGTCCAAACTTTTTTCAAAGAGGGCCAGATTGGATGAAGTGAACATGGTGGAGGGCCGGACATTTTTCCGAACATTCTTTGAACCATTACAATTAAGTGCAAATAAATTATTTTATGCCAAGTTAATTTCAAACGACATACTTTTCATTTCATAACATTAAGATCCACTGACAGCTGAGTTTTCACAATGTATTGAAAATAAATAAAAAAAAAACTTACCTGCACTAATGTGAAGGGTGAAAAAGGTAGCTGGAGCTGAAGTCTCTGCTCGGCAGCCGGGAGGGGAAGAGAAACACACTTCATGCTGGAAGCCCGGCCCTGACGTCACCGCCCTCTGTCGCTCCCAGCGCAGTGCAGTCACGCATGCGCACTGCTCTCAAGCAGAAGACTGTCTGCCACAGAAGGGAGGGCCGTGCGACAGCCGCATTTACACAGACCAGGGAGAACGCGCCGCAGTCAGGCATGCGCACTGCCCTCTGCTCTCAAGCAGAAGACTGTCTGCCATAGAAGGGAGGGCCGTGGGAGGGCCACATTACACAGAGCAGGGAGGGCTGTTGGAGGGCCATATTAAACCAACCCCCGGGCCGTAAATGGCCCGCGGGCCGGACTTTGGACATGCCTGATTTACTGTATTGTCAACATCAATACATACCCCAATGTCATGGAACATCTTCTAGATAACATTTATATACTGTACATCCTGAACAGAGGGGTTGGCAACCAGCATTCTGAAGTTGACTCTTAATCCTCACAACTCCATACACTGAAGGTAAACACAAGCCAAGGAGGCCCCACCAAAAAGAAGACCCTTGGGGCACCTTACAACTAAATCTTAAGGAACTTCAGGCCTTCTTCATCCCATTAGCCTCTTCTGCAAATCCTCCCTCCCTAACTTTTTATATCTTTTCCCAGGGAAAGGAGCCCAGCCCAAGGGACTCTACGATTGGCTAGAATTGGTGCCAAGAGCACAAGTCCCTACCCAGCTCTTGTCCTGCTAGAACACTGCCTTTCCTGCTGAGGCTGAACCATGAACCCTCCACATGACATTCCCGGCCACTTACTTTTATTATAGGAAGGTATGTCCACATATAAAAGTAGTTTGCTGCACTTTACTGATGGAATTTGTGAAATGAGGTAGCAGTCACATAACATCGACATACATTCCTAAGTCACTTGACAATACATACAGTAGTCAGTCAAATTTAGTGAGCAGTCCCCAGTAGTTATATGTGCAAGCATATGCTGCACCTTTAGCAGCCATCTCTCATTAACTCCTTCCACCCAGGGTCATTAGTACTCAAACGACTGGGATCTCTGTAGTCACCTCCTCCATAGGTACACCTCTCCTGTGGACCCTCCAGGGGAATAGCCTCACTCAGGGAGCTCTTGGCCTGACCTAAATTGCATTTTCCAATCCGCCCTAGTTCTCACCTCCATAAGGGTCAGGAAGTCTACAGCCAGCTCTCCTGGGTGTAGATCTTTTCTAGTCCCCAGACTTTTGCCCTGTACAGGGCCTCCACATGCTGATTACATCTGTGCTGGCATGGGGTATTTAGCTTCCATGCCCCAAGAGAGTAAGGGCTCCTCCCGACCTGGATTATAACTGAGCACTGACTCATCCATGACATCACTGCAGGAGGGCTCTACCCAAAAGGGGCTGAAAAGTGTTGCTCAAAGTTTTAATGCAATTTTACAACCGCTATTAGCAGGCTTGCTTAAGAGAAATAGTGCCAATGGGTTTAGTGACACCAGGCTAAGTAGGATTCATGGTCCTGCTGGAAGTTTTGTTTATTTAGTGGGCAGTCCACAGTAGGTATACATGAAAGCATATGCTGCACCTTTAGCAGCCATCTCTCATTAATTCCTTCCACCCAGGGTCATTAGTACTCATTCACTGGGATCTCTGTAGTCACCTCCTCCATAGGTACACCTCTCCTGGGGACCCTCTAGGGCAGGGGTAGGCAACCTGCGGCTCTCTAGCTGTTGTGGAATGACATTTCTCATGAGACATTGCAAAATTGACAGTTACAGCTATGACTTGCAGAGGCATGATGGGACTTATAGTCTTGCAACAGCTGGAGAGCTGCAGGTTGCCTACCCCTGCTCTAGGGGAATAGCCTCACTCAGGGAGCTCTTAGCCTGACCTAAATGGCATTTTCCAATCTGCCGTAGGCCCCACCTCCACAAGGGTCAGAAAGTCTACAGCCAGCTCTCCTGGGTGTAGATCTTCTCTTCCTCAGACTCCTGCCATGTACAGGGCCTCCACATGCTGTTTACAGCTGTGCTGGCATGGGGTATTTAGCTCCCATGGCCCAAGAGAATAAGGGCGCCTCCCGACCTGGCTTATAACTGAGCATTGACTCACCCATGACATCACTGCAGGAGGGCTCTACCGAAAAGGGGCCGAAAAGTGTTGCTCAAAGTTTTAATGCAATTTTACAACTGCTATTAGCAGGCTTGCTTAAGAGAAATAATGCAAATGGGTTTAGTGACACCAGGCTAAGTAGGATTCATGGTCCTGCTGGAAGTTTTGTTTATTTAGTGGGCAGTCCACAGTAGTTATACGTGAAAGCATATGCTGCACCTTTAGCAGCCATCTCTCATTAACTCCTTCCACCCAGGGTCATTAGTACTCAAACGACTGGGATCTCTGTAGTCACCTCCTCCATAGGTACACCTCTCCTGGGGACCCTCCAGGGGAATAGCCTCACTCAGGGAGCTCTTGGCCTGACCTAAATGGAATTTTCCAATCTGCAGTAGGCCCCACCTCCATAAGGGTCTGAAAGTCTACAGCCAGCTCTCCTGGGTGTAGATCTTCTCTTCCCCAGACTCCTGCCCTTTACAGGGCCTCCAACATGCTGATTACATCTGTGCTGACATTGGGTATTTAGCTCTCATGCCCCAAGAGAGTAAGGGCTGCTCCCGCCCTGGCTTATAACTGAGCACTGACTCACCCATGACATCATTGCAGGAGGGCTCTACCGAAAAGGGGCCGAAAAGTGCTGCTCAATGTTTTATTGCAATTTTACAATAGCTATTAGCAGGCTTGCTTAAGAGAAATAGTGCAAATGGGGTTAGTGACACCAGGCTAAGTAGGACACCAGGCTAAGTAGGACACCAGGCTAAGTAGGATTCATAGTCCTGCTGGAATTCAACTTGATCTGCCAGATTTGGTTGTATCCTTCTGCAGAGGTGTTATGTGGAATGTGTCAGCTCTTTGCCTGACCCAAGAATGCAAAATATTAGTAGGGTCACAGACTTGTGCATTTTGGAGAAAATAGGGCACATTGTGTTTAGCATGACCCCCGTTCTCGTTCATTGGACGTCATTATTGTCACAACCGCTTTCTTCCAAAGAGTTGCCACAAAAAAGGTCTCCCACCAGCCCGGACAAATCCTTTGGAACAAAGTCAACATCTCTGTGCAATAACATGCAGATCCAAAGCATTATTGTTTTCTAGTTAACCCCTATATACTAGCAGGTGAATGGCCGCTTCAATAAACTCCATCGATTGCATTTATGTAGCCATGTTTGATGCCCTGTATAAAGCCTCAATTAGCAACCCGTCAATCCTGGAATTTGCCATATGGGCTAGTCTTGCCCAAATTGTTTGTGGCTAGCCCTTGGGTATCACACAAGTTGTCTGAGTTTTGTCTTTACTCTCTTTCCAGACCTATGGCCATTATACAGAGGAGCTCTCACAATTTGCCAGGAAAGAAGCTGCCAAATTACGTCAAGAGAGGCAAAGTGTCAGCACAACCAAACCACCTGATGTACAGAGGGAGTGTTACTCCAAGTGCCACGGTAAGATCACACTATAAAAAAAAAATGTATTTCTCTACCAGCACCACCAACAAGGTGCCACATGGGTATATAGGGAACCAGAATTTGCCTTTCTTATAGTGTTTGGAAATCTAGAAGATCTCCATAATTCTGGTTATTAAATGTGAAGAGGACAGTGGTTGAAACCTTGGAACATGGGAACTACAGCCTCTTTCCACTCCTTCTACCTGCTTATTTACATCTAGAAGACCAAATTTAATTAACTACAATGACTGTGCCTCAGATCTGGAGGTGCATCTCCCTTACGGGCACTTAGGTCTTTCATTGGTTAGGGGAAGGGTGCCTGTAGCTCTAAAGTCAGAGCAAAGCTGATTAGAACCAGGGCTGGGACAAGGGGGGGAGCAGGAGGAAATTCCCCTAAGCCTAGGTCATTAGTGATTTCTCCTTGCTCCTGGGGAGTGTTCTCCAGTAAATAGAGCAAACATAACAAAGTTATGGAATGTGAATAATTGTTTCCCATTGCTAGGTGGTTTATTATCAGTGATGTGGGCTTGGAAAGTGAGATAAATATTTTTTTTAAAGCCCTTCCAGAAGGATCCTAGCTTTCCAGGCTTTGCCTGGAAAGGATGCCATTGACAGGGATCCAGTCATAGCCTCCCAGACCTGCTACCTGGAGGGGGGACAGTTCTAGAACAAGGTCCCAAAATAATTGCCTATGTAGCATAGGGTGGAATGGTTAGGGGGCAATAAAATGGTTACTGTCCCCCAATCGCTAGTGTAAATGAAGCCTAAAAGGCTCTGCTGCGTCTGTAAATCACAGCCGGCTAGTTTAGCATTGTAGCAGGCAGGGGCGGACTGACAACTCATGGGGCCCCTGGGCAATAGGGGATCATGGGGCCCCTGAGTCCTTGCCCGAACTCAAAAAAGCCTATGAAAAAGGTACCAGGGGCATCTCATGGGGCCCCCTACTGACCCCGGGCCCTCGGGCAGTACCCAAGTTTCCAAATGGTCAGTCCGCCCTTGGTAGCAGGTGTTCTTAAAGCTAAACCCTAGTCTGCCCTTCAGTCTTGCACAGTTGTACAGGATCCTCTACTCTACTGAAATGGCTTACTCTGATTTCACTGCACACTCTGAGCTTCTCACAATGTGCATTAGAAGCTGCAGCAAGTCAGATAGAGCCCACCTCATTTCCTGGATGGAGGATGTCCAACATCATCAAGTCTTTCCTCCTCAGCCAAGTTGTCCCTGGTCCATCCCTTTCATTCAATGGATTTCAGTTCTTTCAATCATGAAGGCTCAGCAAATACAGCCTGCCTAGGAACGCAGACTTCCCCAAAGATGACCTTTACCCATGAAGGCATTTTGATATTATGTGAGTTAGAAGAGGTCTAAAAAAGCCCGCTGGCGGTCCAGGTGGCAAAGACACTCGTTGTTGCATGTCTAAGGATAGGTTGTCATCTGGTTTACTGAACATCAAATTGCTTTATTTCACCAAAAGAAAACAATTTCATGGCTTATAATTGCCAAGCTCTCAATTTAGGGTGATCCACTGAAGTTTCACATTCCCCAATTGAGTGGGTTTGAAATTTGCATAAATCCCCCCAAGAGCCAGCCCACTGCTTGCATCAGGACTGAAGGCTCTTGAAAGGGGTACTAATGTTTTCAGGAAACTGTGTACAGCACCCTCCCGGACCCTCCCACCAGCCATGTTCTGTCTGTATTGCACAGAGAAGCACCAAGACCCAGTGATGACATCAATAGGTCTAAAATAGGGTATGTGATGAAAAAGTAAAGTTTTGATTCAAACATTAGCTTGTTGATGATGTGGGGGGGGGGGGGGGGGGGGGAAGTAAGGAAGGCAAAATATAAAAACTTCAGCTTTAAAGTTTAGACAGCAGACTCCCAATGGATTCCCCAATATGTCTCTATCCCCCCCTTCACCAGACTGTCAAAATCATCATCACCAAAAAGCAATATGACCCAAAAAGTGGTCAAAGAACAGGCTTTATTTAGTAGGATAGTTATTAAGAGGTCGTACAATAAATTACTGTATCACCCAGTAAATGGTCTCTATTCAGTAGCCAAAAAAGGCATGCAAAAAAAGAGGGGTTGTGAAAAGAAATTCACAAAGAAAGCGGCTACATTAAGAACAGAATGTGATACTCAGAAAAATTTCCAAAAATATACTTTATTACACATACAAATTTGACATATGGGCAATCGCCCTGGTTTACCATCACCTCAGTATGAGACAATACACACAGACCTAAAACCATATAAAATGACACCAGAACCGGTCTGAATGCATGTGCAACAAGGACAATGACTACAAGAGTCTAAAGTCCCTGTAGCACAGGCGCATAGGTGGACACTTCCCAAAGGAGGTGTATACAAAAATTATACCATAGGTATATACCATAACACGTGTAATAAATGTGTAGACTAAGCTACTACCAAAATGGTTATATCCCATACAGGGAATTTCAAAAAATTATACCATAGATATAAATATCACATGTATGCAATGCAGCAAGCACAGTATGCGTCAAAAAGAAGGCATGCCTCTAGGCCTATATGAGACAAAACATAAATGTCATGTAAATGATGCAACACATTCCTATGCCGGCACAAGTGGTTGGGGCTTTAGACTCTTGTAGTCATTGTCCTTGTTGCACATGCATTCAGACCGGTATTGGTGTCATTTTATATGGTTTTAGGTCTGTGTGTATTGTCTCATACTGAGGTGATGGTAAACCAGGGCGATTGCCCATATGTCAAATTTGTATGTGTAATAAAGTATATTTTTGGAAATTTTTCTGAGTATCACATTCTGTTCTTAATGTAGCCGCTTTTCTTTGTGAATTTCTTTTCACAACCCCTCTTTTTTTATTTAGTAGGGCATTCATTGTCTAGCTAAATGTTTAATCTGTTAAAAGTAAAAAATTACAAAAACCCCTCCAAAAAATTACATATCCTCCACCAAATTAAAAATGACAACGTTGTCAACAAATACAGTCAATTGGGGTGATTTGCTAAAGCTGGAGAGTGCAAAATCTGGGGCAGCTGTATATTGTAGCCAATCAGCTTCTAACTTCAGCTTGTTCAATCAACTGCTTTCCGTCCGTCCATTTCCTATAGATGGCAGACCATGAGCAGCGGCGATGCGTTCTAACGTATCTGTATGTGAGCCCCATCGCAGGCTCCTGCACAGCTCACAGAGCGAGCATCCGGACACAACGGATCAAATTATTGCTCTGTCCAGTGGTTACATGGTATTGTACCATGTGATTGCTGTGTCCAATCACAGCATCAACATAGTAAACAGTACCAAGTGAAAGTAAGCATTGGTTCTCTCTGCTCTCAGTATGAGTTCTGATCACCACCATACCCCATACCAGCATCCTGATCAATGCTCTACCCATACCAATGTACTGATCACCGCAACACCCCATACCAGCTTTCTGATCAATGCTCTACCCATACCAATGTACTGATCACCGCAACACCCCATACCAGCTTTCTGATCAATGCTCTACCCATACCAATGTACTGATCACCGCCACACCCCCTTACCAGCTTCCTGATCAATACTCTACCCATACCAATGTACTGATCACCGCCACACCCTATACCAGCTTCCTGATCAATGCTCTACCCATACCAGTGTCCTGATCACCGGCATACCCCATACCAGCGTCCTGATCAACACCATACTTCATGCCAATGTCCTTATCACCACCATACCGCATAATAGTGTCCTGATGACTGCCATAGCCCATACCAGCTTCCTGATCAATACTCTACCAATACCAGTGTCCTGATCACCGTCATACCCCATGCTATTGTCCTGATCACCGCCATAGCCCATACCAGCTTCCTGATCAATACTCTACCAATACCAGTGTCCTGATCACCGTCATACCCCATGCTATTGTCCTGATCACCACCATAGCCCATACCAACTTCCTGATCAATGCTCTACCCATACCAGTGTCCTGATCAGCACCATACCCCATACCAGCGTCCTGATCACCACCATACCCCATAACAGCGTCCTGATCACCGCCATAGCTTATACCAGTGTCCTGATCACCGCCATAGCCCATACCAGATTCCTGATCAATGCTCTACCCAAACCAGTGTCTTGATCACTGTCATACCCCATACCAGTGTCCTGATCATTGCCAAATGCCATAATCCTGGACACCACCATACCTCATGCCAATGTCCTGATCACCACCATACCCCATACCAACATCCGGCATTTTAGGGTCTCAACTGATCAATTTTCAAATATACAGTATACACCATAGTTTGTAGTATTTATACCTTTCACACAGACTAAATAATATATACTGTTTGGGTTATATTTACCCGAAAAACGTAGCATAATACATTTTGACCTACATTTATAAAGAGAGATTTTTTTTGTTTGTAAAGTTATAACAAAAACTAAGCAAAGAATGTTTTTTTTTTTTCAAAATTTTAGGTATTTTTTATTTGTATATCAAAAAATAAAACACCCAGTGGTGATCAAATAATACCAAATGAAAACTTTATTTGTGTGAAAAAAATTATAAAAATTTCAAATGGGTACAGTGTTACAATTGTCATTCAAAGTGTGACAGTGGTGAAAGTTGAAAATTGTCCCGGACTGGAAGGGGATGAAAGTGTCTGGACTTGAAGTGGTAAATCTTTGACATAAAAACCCTGGAAGCTGATTGGTTTCTACGCAGAGCTGAATCAGATTTTGCACCCTCCAGTTTTAGTAAATCAACCCCAATACCTTCCAATCACACCGTAGACATATCACACTGGTCCTTGGTCAAAATCATCATCATCAGTCATATTAGCTACCAGTATGAAAACTCAAAGGAATTTTCAAAGGATTCTATTATATCTATTTATATAGAAGATAATGAGATACACAAACCATCTACATCTTGCGAGGTTGTCCCTGTTGTGAGAGTTTTGTGCATGAATGGGTCGAAGGTTCACTAACTGACAATGTTATTCCCATGTCACCTCACACTTCAAGTCAGTTCCTCCACTTCAGGTTCAAAAATGAAGAACATTTTATTTATTTACTTTTTTTATTATCCAGAGATCCAGACCCATACCTCCATAATTTGGTTCCCGTACAACAAGGGCTATGGATATACCTTATTAAGAACCCCCTGCAGTAGGATTATGCACTTGACTGGTTGTTTTTATTCAATTTTTTTGTATCTTGCAGCCTTTTTGCAGAGGGTAAAAAAATATATCATCAGAAAGTTGGGCGAGGATTGGATCTTCCTTGTTCTGTTGGGTCTTGTGATGGCGCTGGTCAGCTGGAGCATGGACTACGCCAGTGCAAAGAGTTTACAAGGTAACTCTATTGGACTTATAGTCTTGGTAAATATTCATAACGAATACAATGTTTAATGTGTATGCTTTTGCAGTCATGTATGGCAGGGTTGTCCAAACTTTTTTCAAAGAGGGCCAGATTGGATGAAGTGAACATGGTGGAGGGCCGAACATTTTTCCGAACATCCTTTGAACCATTACAATTAAATGCAAATAAATTATTTTATGCCAAGTTAATTGCAAACGACATACTTTTCATTTCATAACATTAAGATCAACTGACAGCTGAGTTTTCACAATGTATTGAAAATAAATTAAAAAAAAAAAACTTACCTGCACTAATGTGAAGGGTGAAAAAGGTAGCTGGAGCTGAAGTCTCTGCTCGGCAGCCGGGAGGGGAAGAGAAACACACTTCACACTGGAAGCCCGGCCCTGACGTCACCCGCCCTCTGTCGCTCCCAGCGCGGCGCAGTCACGCATGTGCACTGCTCTCAAGCAGAAGACTGTCTGCCACAGAAGGGAGGGCCGTGCGACAGCCGCATTTACACAGACCAGGGAGAACGCGCCGCAGTCAGGCATGCGCACTGCCCTCTGCTCTCAAGCAGAAGACTGTCTGCCATAGAAGGGAGGGCCGTGGGAGCAGGGAGGGCTGTTGGAGGGCCGTATTAAACCGACCCCCGGGCCGTAAATGGCCCGCGGGCCGGACTTTGGACATGCCTGATGTATGGTCTTAATTACTCATTACATATGCATCAGATACTTTTGGGTAGAACTGCAGACTCTTGTCAAATGACTATCTGGCGCAACTCATTTTCATGCTTCAACAGTCAGCACAGTGGCTAAATGGTTAGCACTTCTGCCTGGCAGTACTAGGGTCATTGGTTCGAATCCCAACCATGGTGCCACCTGCTTGAAGCTTGCATGTTCTCCCTGTGCCTGTGTGAGTTTCCTCCCACACTCCAAAGACATGCTGGAAGGTCATACTGGCGCTATACAAGTACATATAATATTAATGTATGGGCAAAAGCTGCAGTGAGCTCAGAGATGGGGAACACGCTAGTCTAAATGTTAGCAGTTTAAGCCTCAGGACAATGTAAATAAAAGGAATGATGAATTGGGTAGCCCAGTGTAGAAGGTGCATCTAAGAATGAATATTAGAGAAGACAGACTTTGTCACCTCAATGAGTTCATATGCAGCAACTTTAGATTTGACTACAATGGTGCTTTATCGCAAACCTGTAAATTACCCGTGCAGGAGGCAAGATCACTTTTTTTTATTTTTGACTCTCTCCCAAGTCACCTTGATCTGCCTCAGGGTTACTAATTACTGGGTAATTCTGGGTATGGAGGAACATCTGCTCCTTCCTTTCCACAATGTAGGACCTGGCCAGCCAACCACCAGGCAACAACGCTGTCATGTGGGAAAGGAGGGAACCTGTAGAACCTTTGTACGATTCAACTACGTCTCTGTGAAGGTTCTCATTTACCCAGGCCAACGTTGGAGATGTTTTGTAGCTTTTCTAAGCCACTTCTTTAGATATTCTTCAGTTCTCTGAGAACTGAAGAGGTGGCTTGGAGAATCTACGAAACGTCTTCAATGATATAGGACAAGTCCAACTGGACGTGACTGATTACTCAACTTCAACTTACTAAGGACTTCCCATCTTAACCAATGGATCCAAAATGTCTGCCATGTAGTATAAAGATACAGAAAGGAGCACAAAACCAAAACTGGATAAAAGATTCCAAGATCATTTTAATTGTGGATAAAAGGTAATATAAACTTTTTTTATATAACTTTTTTTAGCAACAATTTTTTAAATTGTATTTTCAACAACTAAAATGATCTTGGACTCTTTTATTTGGTTTTGGTCTGGTGCTTCTTTCTGTATTTCTATGGTTTGATCGACTGTTGGGTGCCCATCAAGGGAAGCCTTGCTGAGCGGGAGCCTCCTCACCAGAGCTATTGAGCTTGTTTGAAGTTTTCCTTCATCTGCAAGTCTAAAAGTTCTCAATGCCTCTTTGAGTGTGTTGTTCTGGACAAGAGCATAAAGACGTTGCTGGGCTTTGCTTCTAGAAAGCCTAGCATGACGGCAGACACAATATCCTACTAAATGTTATTTGTAAAATAGAGTAATCAAGTAAACAGTTTATAACAGGGGTGACCAACCTTTTGACCATCCTGAGCCACATTGGAAGAAGGGGAAATGTCTTGGGCCAAACACAAAATACAATAAGAATAGCTGATGAGCAGAAAAAGCCAGGCAGTCCCACAAGCCGGGCAAATCACTGAAATAAATAATGTACCTATCTGAGTAATAAAACTTCATTTTTTGTTGTAATATTTTATATTATAAAAGTATAAGAGGGCAACATAAAACTTCTGCGATATTTGACTCTGTTTTTAATGAATGATTTTTTTGGGGGGGAAGATAAGTCCTCATGCACACTAGATGTTTTTACAGCGGTTTTTTTTGGGCTTTTGACGTTTTTAATATACAGCCAATAAACCCCCCAGCATGTTATCCTATGTGTCCATGCACACATGGACTCCCCCAAGAACTGGTTCTGGCCAGCTCAGTGGATTGCTTCAAAAAAGTCCTAGATTCTTTCTTGGATACACAGAACATAACCGGATACTAACATTTATTGGTGAAGTTGATCCAGGGAATATCCGATTGCCTCTCGGGGGATCAGGAAGGAATTTTTTTCCCAGCAGGAGAAGATTGGATCATGCTTTGCTGGGTTTTTTTTGCCTTCCTCTGGATTAACTGTGGGATTTTTTTCTCTATAGTTGAACTGGATGGACTTTTGTCTTTTTTCAACCAGACTAACTATGTAATTATGTAACTAAGACTGTAATCAATGTTTTTTGGCAGGGACGATTTTTGGCTGAAAGAAAACTCCAGAACTAGTGGGTTTCAAGAGAAGTTTTTTAGCTTTAAAACGCTCTTACACTGAAAAATGCGGCAAAACACGGTAAAACGCAGTAAATTGCAGCAAAATGCTAAAAATGCAAACGCGTAAAAATGCGCTAAACGCTAATGCAAAACCGCTAAAAACCACTGAAAAACTCACGTTTTTTAATGCGACTTTACACAGCTGATGTTCCCAGTGTTATAAAACGCCCCGTGTGCTTGGAGCCTAATAGTTAAGTCCAGTAAAAAGACTCTGTAATCTTTATCCAGCCACATGTGCTCACTAAGTCAAAAAACATTTTTACAAAAAAAATTAAAAAAATCAACAATTTAAAGTAAGTTTACGATTTTGTGTTGGGTCGCATTCATAGCCGTCCTGGGTTGCAGGATTCCCTTGGGCCACAGGTTAGACGCCCCTGGTTTATAAAGTTGCCAACGGAAAGCACAGAAATGTAACAACACCCAAACTACAAGGGTTATTTGTTCATTTAGGTCATTATTATTATTATTATTATACAGTATTTATAAAGCGCCAATAGTTCGCTCAGCGCTGTACATTACAAGTCATGGGGACATATTAGAAAAGACCTACATACCTCATTGTTTGCTCCTCCATGCTGCTAGACAGGTCCTTGCAGCGATTTACTAGGGTCATTGGTTCGAATCCCAACCATGGCACCACCTGCCTGGAGTTTGCATGTTCTCCCTGTGCCTGCGTGGGTTTCCTCTGGGTACTCCGGTTTCCTTCCACACTCCAAAGACATGTTGGTAGGTTAATTGGATCCTGTCTAAATTGGCCCTAGTATGTGTATGTATGAATGTGAGTTAGGTCCCTTAGATTGCATTCTCCTTGAGGGTTAGGGACTGATGGGAATGTATAATATATATGTAAAGTGCTGCGTAAATTGACAGCGCTATATAAGTACCTGAAATAAATAAATAAATACATTTCTGCCGCAGTGGTCTAGCTCCTGACATCATCAGGTCCATAGCCTGCATCTGACCTGATGATGTCTTCTGCAGTGAAAACACAAAAGGACAATCCACCGCTGGAGAGTGGGGAAAGCGCCATCTGCTGGGAAAGTGTAGAAGCTGGTAGGTTAACTACTTGCCAACCGCAGATAGCCGAATGATGGCTGCACTGCGGCCGGCCAGTTCTGGGAGTCTGTCATATGACGTCCTCCCAGAACACGCTCCCAGAACATGCAATTGCCAGTCCTCGGCTGCACTTTCCTCACACCGTCAGAGCATGAGGAGAGTACTGCCGAGAACCAGCAGTTGTCAGAGCAGGGATCGGCACCGATCATCAGGGCACTGATGATCAGTGCCCTGATGATTGGTGCCCAGCAGTGCCACCCACCAGTTCCGCCCACCTGTGCCCAGCAGTGCCGCCCACCTGTGCCCAGCAGTGCCACCCACCAGTGCCCAGCAGTGCAGCCAAGCAGTGCCCATCAGTGCAGCCCAGCAGTGCCGCCAGTCAGTGCCACCAGTCAGTGCCCAGCAGTTGTGTCAGTTAGTGCCCAGCAGTTGCGCCAGTCAATGCCTAGCAGTGCCGCCAGTCAGTGTCCAGCAGTGACACAAGTAAGTGCCGCCTATCAGTGCTCACTATCAGTACCCATCATCAGTGCCGCCCAGGGGCGGACTGACAGCTCATGGGGCCCCCGGGCAATAGGGGATCATGGGGCCCCTGTGTCCTTGCCCAAACTCAAAAAAGCCTATGATAAAGGTACCAGGGGCATCTCAAGGAGCCCCCTACTGACCCTGGGCCCTCTGGCAGTGCCCGAGTTTCAAAATGGTCAGTCCGCCCCTGGTACCACCTATCAGTGCCGCCTATCCGTGCCACCTCATTAGTGCTGCCTATCAGTGCTGCCTATCAGTGCCCTTCAGTGCTGCCTATCAGTGCCCATCAGTGCTATCTATCAGTGCCCATCAGTGCCGCCTATCAGTGCCCATCAGTGCAGCCTCACCAACGCACATCAATGAAGGAGAAAAATTACCTGTTTGCAAAATTTTATAATAGAAACAAAGAAACTTTTTTTTAATTTAAATTTTTTGCATTTTTTGTTTATAGCGCAAAAAGTAAAACACCCAGCGGCGATTAAATATCACCAAAGGAAAGCTCTATTTATGAGAAAAAATGATAAAAATTTCATATGGGTACAGTGTTGCATGACCGCGCAATTGTCATTCAAAGTACGACATCGCTGAAAGCTGAAAATTGGCCTGGTAAGGAAGGGGGTATAAGTGCCCGGTAGGCAAGTGGATAAAGAGCAAAAACTCTACCCTACCTTAGTGAACCCTTGAAGGACCGGTGCAGCCCCACTGCAAAGGATCATTTTTAATTTTCCCAAACTAGGGTTCTGAAAATAAATAAATAAAATTGACCATTAAGCTTTCTTTTACAAATGTTTGAACAAAAAAGTGTTGAAATCGCAGCCAGATTAAGTCTTGTATGTCTTTTCATACTGTCTCCTACTTTCCATGCTTTCAGCCTACAGATGGATGTACCAAGGAGCCGCCTCACACAACGTCTGGTACCAGTACATGGCCTGGGTGTCCTATCCCCTGGTCCTTATATTGTTTGCTGCTGTGTTCTGTCACATAGTGTCTCCGCAGGCCATAGGTAAGTGACTTTCACTATTTTTTCCCAATGTTTCATTTATTGTAAAGCCACTTTGTAGATATTAAACAGCATTATGCAGCAGACCATTGGAGAGCTTGTCATCCGAAATGGGGGGGTTTGCCACAGCTACTCCAAGGAGCACACAGAACATGATGTTCATGGAACGTTAGGGCATGGTCACATTGCAAAGACACTCCAAAGACATGCTGGTAGGTTAATTGGCTCCTGTTTAAATTGGCCCTAGTAATTCATGGTAAAATGCATTGTTACCCATGGTGCCCGGTGATGGCATCCATTGTGAATGGCACCCCAGTGCACCTCTGAACTGTCATACCTGCCATTTGCAGTTCTGTTCAGCCATTTTTCGAATCTAGTCAAGCCATCAGATAGCACAGTTTGATTGTCACCTCACTTTTCTCTACTGCAGTTAAAGCAGTACAGCTTGGTCAAGGACCTTGTGGTTGAATAGCATAGGAGCAGGAACACACTGAGGAACCCTCGCCTTTGTTCTTCTCTCCCATCACCCAGCCCTTTGTGCATTGTGCAATAGAGTAATACTTGACTGGCTTACAGTATTGGCTCTCCCTCTCCCAGTCCAGCTATAAAAGATGCTAATGTAGCACCCTCTTGATCCCCAATGGCATATTAGGAACCTCAGATGCAAGTGGGCTAGAATTTCATCTTAGGGTCGGATCCTTGGCAGTGGTGGTGTAATGAATACAGATGGTTGCCAGTCACTTTTGTTAGCAAACTTAGAGTTTAATAGCTCTAATTCAAACTCCTGGGAGACAGGGTTAGGTTACGAGACACTCATGGATGTTGCAGACTCCAGAAAAAGGACAAAATGTATCCACAGCCTCCAATAATAAAGGACCTTTAGGCCAATCTGGAATTCTGTAAATTCAGCTTGTGGCTCCACAGTTCTGGACAGTTCAGCTGCCTACTCCTCAGGAAGAGCTCACCATACCCCTTGCTTAGCACTGTAGGCCTTGATCCCAGGCCTGTTTGTAGACCCTCTCCAGGCAGCAGGCCCAAGAGGGTCGAAAAAAAAAATACTTACAACCTTTATTGATAGAGGACCTTAAAGTGGAACTTCACTCTCTCAATCCACACTGACATTAGTAAATTGATAGGAAAATACACTCACCGGTCACTTTATTAGGTACACCTTACTAGTACCGAGTTGGACCCCCTTTTGCCTTCAGAACTGCCTTATTCTTCATGGCATAGATTCAACAAGGTGGAAACATTCCTCAAAGATTTTGGTCCATATTGACATGAGTTACTGTTGCTTTTCTATCATCTCAAACCAGTCTGCCCATTCTCCTCTGACCTCTGACATCAACAAGGCATTTTTGTCCACACAACTGCCACTGTCTGGCTATTTTCTCTTTTTTGGACCATTCTCTGTAAACCCTAGAGGTGGCTGTGCGTGAAAATCCCAGTAGATCAACAGTTTTTTAAATACTCAGACCAACCCATCTGGCACCAACAACCATGCCACGTTCAAAGTCACTTAAATCCCCTTTCTTCCCCATTCTGATGCTCAGTTTCAACTGCAGCAAGTCGTCTTCACCACGTCTAGATGCCTAAATGCATTGAGTTGATGCCATGTGATTGGCTGATTAGCAATTTGTGTTACCAAGCAATTGAACAGGTGAACCTAATAAAGTAGCCAGTGAGTTTATATTATATTTACTTGTTTTAAACTGTTTTTTTTACATTTCTTCAGTTACTTCCTGGTTTCCATGCGTAGGTCAAATGATGTCATACATCCCATGAGTCTTCAAGAGGGGAGGGAGGGTTCTCAGCTCATCCAATGCCTGAGCTAAGGGCAGTTGGATTCCAGGAAGTAAATGCTCCTTGAATCATCTGCCCTTACTCAAGATGGCCACTGCCAGAAACGCCGGGGGGTGTTTTTTCAAAATGATTTCTCAGCAAAATAATGCATGGAGACATAGATAGATGGGGCATGGGAAATATAATTTTTGGTTTGTGGTGCTCAGATGCAGTGCATTCCCACTTTAATGTCCATCTAGATTTCTGTGAATTCAGGTTGCAAAGTACTGGATGGTTCAACTACGTGCTCCTTGGGGAGAGGCCACCATACATTCTTAGTCCTGCAAGCCGCCATCTCTGTTATCGTGTCTTAGTCCTGCAATCCATCATCTCTGCCACTGCTTCATAGTCCTGCAAGTCACCATCTCTGCTGCCGCTTCTTAGTTATGCAAGCCATCATCCATGTCGCTACTTCTTAGTCCTGCAAGCTTCTATCTCTGCTGCCAGTTCTTAGTCCTGCTGGTCACCATCTCTGCTGCCGCTTCTTAGTCACCCATATCACTACTTCTTTGTCCTGCAAGCCACCATTTCTGCCACTGCTTCTTAGTTCTGCAAGCCACCGTCTCTGTTGCCAGTTCTTAGTTCTGCAAGCCACAATCTCTGTTGACAATTCTTAGTCCTGCAAGCTGCCATCTCTGCCACCACTTCTTAGTCCTGCAACGCACCATCTCTGCCACCACTTCTTAGTCCTGCAACGCACCATCTCTGCGGCCACTTCTTAGTCTTGCAAGCTGTCACCCATGTCACTGCTTCTTAGTCCTGCAAGCCACCATCTTTGTTGCTGCTTCTTAGTCCTGCAAGCCACCATTTCTGCCACCACTTCTTAGTCCTGCTAGCCACCATCCCTGCTATTGCTTCTTAGTCCTGCAAGCCACCATCTCTGCTGGTGCTTCTTAGTCCTGCAAGCCGTCACCCATGTCGTTACTTCTTAGTCTTGCAAGCCACCATCTCTACCATCACTTTCTAGTCCTGCAGGCCGCCATATTTGTTGCTACTTCTTAGTCCTGCAAGTCACCATCTCTGCCACCTCTTCTTACTGCTGAAAATTGTCATTCATATCCAGGGGCCCCATGGGGCCCCTGGATAACTCATGGGGCCCCCTTGCAATAGGGGATCATGGGGCCCGTGTGTCCTTGCCCAAACTCAAAATAGCCTATGAAAAAGGTACCAGGAGCATCTCATGGGGCGCCCCTATTGACCCCGGGCCCTTGGGCAGTGCCCGAGTTTCCAAATGGTCAGTCCGCCCCCTGCCCATATTGCTACTTCTTAGTCCTGCAAGCTACAATCCCTGCCACTGCTTCTTAGTCCTGCAAGCCGCCATCTCTGCTGCCACTTCTTAGTCCTGCATGCCGTCACCCCTGTCACCCCTGTCATTACTTCTTAGTCCTGCAAGCTGCTATCTCTGCCACCGCTTCTTAGTCCTGCAAGCTGCTATCTCTGCTGTTGCTTCTTAGTCCTGCAAGCCACCATCTATGCTGGCGCTTCTTTGTCCTGCAAGCCACCATCTAATGCTGTCCCTTCTAAGTCCTGCAAGCCACCATCTATGCTGGCCCTTCTAAGTCCTGCAAGCCACCATCTATGCTGGCCCTTCTAAGTCCTGCAAGCCACCATCTAATGCTGGCATTCTTAGTCCTCTATGCTGGCAAGCCTGCAAGCCACCATCTAATGCTGGCCCTTCTAAGTCCTGCAAGCCACCATCTATGCTGGCCCTTCTAAGTCCTGCAAGCCACCATCTATGCTGGCCCTTCTAAGTCCTGCAAGCCACCATCTAATGCTGGCATGCTTAGTCCTGCAAGCCACCATCTATGCTGGCCCTTCTAAGTCCTGCAAGCCACCATCTAATGCTGGCATTCTTAGTCCGCAAGCCACCATCTATGCTGGCCCTTTTTAGTCCTGCAAGCCACCATCTATGCTGGCCCTTCTTAGTCCTGCAAGCCACCATCTATGCTGTCCCTTCTAAGTCCTGCAAGCCACCATCTATGCTGGCCTTCTGGCAAGCCACCATTTCTTTTAGTCCTGCAAGCCACCATCTCTGCTGCCACTTCTTAGTCCTGCATGCCGTCACCTCTGTCACCCCTGTCATTACTTCTTAGTCCTGCAAGCTGCTATCTCTGCTGTTGCTTCTTAGTCCTACAAGCCACCATCTATGCTGGCCCTTCTTAGTCCTGCAAGCCACCATCTAATGCTGGCCCTTCTTAGTCCTGCAAGCCACCATCTATGCTGGCCCTTCTAAGTCCTGCAAGCCACCATCTAATGCTGGCATTCTTAGTCCTGCAAGCCACCATCTATGCTGGCCCTTTTTAGTCCTGCAAGCCACCATCTATGCTGTCCCTTCTAAGTCCTGCAAACCACCATCTATGCTGGCCCTTCTAAGTCCTGCAAGCCACCATCTAATGCTGGCATTCTTAGTCCTGCAAGCCACCATCTATGCTGGCCCTTTTTAGTCCTGCAAGCCACCATCTATGCTGTCCCTTCTAAGTCCTCCAAACCACCATCTCTATGCTGGCCCTTCTAAGTCCTGCAAGCCACCATCTGATGCTGGCATTCTTAGTCCTGCAAGCCACTATCTATGCTGTCCCTTCTAAGTCCTGCAAGCCACCATCTATGCTGGCCCTTCTAAGTCCTGCAAGCCACCATCTAATGCTGGCATTCTTAGTCCTGCAAGCCACCATCTATGCTGGCCCTTTTTAGTCCTGCAAGCCACCATCTATGCTGTCCCTTCTAAGTCCTGCAAACCACCATCTATGCTGGCCCTTCTAAGTCCTGCAAGCCACCATCTAATGCTGGCATTCTTAGTCCTGCAAGCCACCATCTATGCTGGCCCTTTTTAGTCCTCCAAACCACCATCTATGCTGGCCCTTCTAAGTCCTGCAAGCCACCATCTGATGCTGGCATTCTTAGTCCTGCAAGCCACCATCTATGCTGTCCCTTCTAAGTCCTGCAAGCCACCATCTATGCTGGCCCTTCTAAGTCCTGCAAGCCACCATCTAATGCTGGCATTCTTAGTCCTGCAAACCACCATCTATGCTGGCCCTTTTTAGTCCTGCAAGCCACCATCTATGCTGGCCCTTTCCTGCAAGCCACCATCTAATGCTGGCATTCTTAGCCTGCAAGCCACCATCTATGCTGGCCCTTTTTAGTCCTGCACCTGGCCCTTTTTAGTGCTGCAAATTGTCACCCATGTGGCTACTTCTTAGTCCTGCAAGCCACCATTTAATGCTGGCCCTTTTTATTCCTGCAAGCCACCATCTATGCTGTCCCTTCTAAGTCCTGCAAGCCACCATTTAATGCTGGCACTTCTTAGTCCTGCAAATTGTCACCCATGTGGCTACTTCTTAGTCCTGCAAGCCACCATCTCTACCACTGCTTCTTAGCCATGCAAACCACCATCTCTGCTGCCACTTCCTAGTCCTTCAAGCCGTTAGTTGACAAAAAATCACTAGGAGGCTTGGGAAAGGTTTTTGCCAGAAACAATTTTGCATGTTTTTGACATGTATGAAGGAAAGTAACCACTGATAAATACCTAGATCTGACCTCCGGCCTTCCCTTCAGTCTTGCACAGTTGTGCAGACTCCTCTCTTCTACTGAAATTTCTTGCACTGATTTCACTGCACACTGAGCTTCTCACAATGTGCATTAGAAGCTACAGCAAGTCAGATAGAGCCTGCCAGGAGGACATCCAGCATCATCCAGCTCTTATTTCCCCAGCCTGACTGTCCCAGGCCAGCCTCTTTCATTCGTTGAATTTCAGTTCTTCCAATCATTAAGGCTCAGTATCACATGTGGGCGTTACCTAGTGCACTCATTATTAACATACAGCTTTCCTAAGAACTCCTCCAGACTGACATTCACCCATCGAGGCATTTGAATATTTGCAACTCTACCCAAAAGCCAGCCCACTGCTTGCCTCAGGGCTGAGGGCTCATGAGAGGAGAGCTGAGGCAGCCCCTCCCACCAGCCATGATCTGCCTGCATTGCACAGAGAAGCACAGAAACCCAGTGATGATGTCATTGGGTCTAAAATAAGGTTTGTAACAAAAACAGGGTTTTTATTTAAACGCTTCATTAGTCTGTTCTTCTGGGAACGAGGAAAATCAAAATATAATCAGATTATCGCTTAGTTTTAAAGGGCAACACAAAGAGATAACACCCTGTTATGTTTCCTCCGGGTAAACCAATTTCCTCCCATGACGCATAAGCAAAAGGTAGTTTATCTAGACTGATTAATTGCTCCTAGTGATTGGCAATATGACCATGGTAGAAGGGTAGATTGCAAGCTCCTTTGGTTTCAGGGACAGTTGTGAATGTTTCTGTGTATGTGTTGGTGATGTATACTAATAACTGAAATAAATAGCAGACATGATACCACTATGATGGGTTATCTGAGGGTGGGCAGTCATGGTAACAAGAGACCGTGTCAGCTGCTTTGGATGGTGAATGCATCACCCAGCTTCTGCCAGCGTGAGTCACACACACCTAAGAGGGGGTCCGTCCATCTTGTGGTCACTGTGTACCAGCCTGTCACCCCGCATAACCTCCTCCATGCTGCCAGCACACACACATATCACTCATGCTGATGCGTAATGCCCATGACACACAACCATTAAAGGGGTTTTCCACTTTTAAAAGGGAATCTGTACACTGAGCAGGGGGTATGTTGTAGAGGAGGGGTGCAGGGGAAAAAAGCAATGTCTTTTTTTTATCATTTTTGAGGATGTGTTAAAGGGTCACTCCACTGAAAAAGGGAGATTTCACTGTTTCGTAGATGCTGGGGGGAAATATAACCTGCTGTGCCCATTATGAGGGGTTCCCACCATCTCTCTTCTAATTCTAATTCTCACATTCCCTCTCTCTCTCTCCCATCTCTCTCTTCTGTTTCTCATTCTCACATTCCCTCTCTCCCCCAATTTCTCTCTTCTAATTCTCATTTTCACATCCCCCCCCTCTCTCCCCGTTCTCTCTATTCTGTTTCCCATACTCACATTCCCTCTCTCTCTCCCCCCAGATCTCTCTCTTCTAATTCTCATTTCACATTCCCTCTCTCTCCCCCCATCTCTCTCTCTAATCTAATTCTCATTCTCACATTCCCTCTCTCTCTCCCCCGATCTCTCTCTTCTGTTTCTCATTCTCATCTCACATTCCCTCCCCCCCCCAATCTCTCTCTTCTGTTTCTCATTCTCACATTCCCTGATCTCCCCCCCCCAATCTCTCTCTTCTTTTCTCATTCTCACATTCCCTCTCCCCCCCAATCTCTCTCTTCTGTTTCTCATTCTCACATCCTTCTCCCCCCCCCCAATCTCTCTCTTCTTCTTTTCTCATTCTCACATTCCCCTCTCTCTCCCCCAATCTCTCTCTTCTGTTTCTCATTCTCACTTTCCCCCCCCCCCCCCCAATCTCTCTCTTCTGTTTCTCATTCTCCTCATTCCCTCTCTCTCTCTCCCTGATCTCTCTCTTCTATTTCTCATTTTCACATTCCCCCCCCTCTCTCTCTCTCTCCCGATCTCTCTCTCTTCTGTTTCTCATTCTCATGTTCCCTCTCTCTTCCCCGATCTCTGTCTTCTAATTCTCATTTCACATTCCCTCTCTCTCCCCCATCACTCTCTCTTTCTCTTCTCATTCTCACATTCCCTCTCTCCCCCCCCCAATCTCTCTCTTCTGTTTCTCATTCTCACATTCCTCCTCTCCCCCCCCCGATCTCTCTCTTCTGTTTCTCATTCTCACATTCCTTCATCTCTCCCCCCAATCTCTCTCTTCTTTTCTCTCTCTTCCCTGATCTCTCTTCTATTTCTCCCTCCCTCTCTCTCTCCCCCAATCTCTCTCTTCTAATTCTCATTCTCACATTCCCTCTCTCTCTCTCTCTCTCTCTCCTCTCCCAATCTCTCTCTTCTAATTCTCATTCTCACATTCCCTCTCTCTCTCCCATCTCTCCTAATTCTCATTCTCACATTCCCCTCTCCCCTCCCAATCTCTCTCTTCTATTTCTCATTCTCACATTCCCTCTCTCTCTCTCCCCCAATCTCTCTCTTCTAATTCTCATTCTCACATTCCCTCTCTCTCTCCCATCTCTCCTCCTAATTCTCATTCTCACATTCCCCCCTCTCTCTCCCCCAATCTCTCTCTTCTTCTTTCTCATTCTCACATTCCCCTCTCTCCCCCCCCATCTCTCTCTTCTAATTCTCATTCTCACATTCCCTCTCCCTCTCCCCCCCCAATCTCTCTCTTCTATTCTCTCTCATTCTCACATTCCCTCTCACTCCCCCCATCTCTCTCTTCTAATTCTCATTCTCTCACATTCCCCCCTCTCTCTCCCCCGATCTCTCTCTTCTAATTCTCATTCTCACAATCCCTCTCACCCCCCCCGATCTCTCTCTTCTAATTCTCATTCTCACATTCCCTCTCTCTCTCCCCCAATCTCTTCTCTTCTTCTCTCTTCTCACATTCCACATTCCCTCTCTCCCCCCCCCCCAATCTCTCTCTTCTAATTCTCATTCTCACATTCCCTCTCTCTCTCCCCCCGATCTCTCTCTCTCTTTGTTTCTCATTCTCACATTCCCTCTCTCTCCCCCAATCTCTCTCTTCTGTTCTCATTCTCACATTCCCTCTCCCCCCCTCTCTCTCTATCTCTTCTAATTCTCATTCTCACATTCCCTCTCTCTCTCCCCGATCTCTCTCTTCTTTTCTCATTCTCACATTCCCTCTCTCTCTCCCCCAATCTCTCTTCTTCTGTTTCTCATTCTCACAATCCCTCTCCCCCCCCGATCTCTCTCTTCTAATTCTCATTCTCACATTCCCCTCTCTCTCCCCCCCCTTCCCCCCCTCTCTCTCTTCTATTTCTCATTCTCACATTCCCTCTCTCTCTCCCGATCTCTCTTCTAATTCTCATTTCACAATCCCTCTCACCCCTGATCTCTCTCTTCTAATTCTCATTCTCACATTCCCTCTCTCTCCCCCGTTCTCTCTCTTCTGTTTCTCATTCTCACATTCCCTCTCTCTCTCCCCCAATCTCTTTCTTCTGTTTCTCATTCTCACAATCACTCTCTCCCCCCCGATCTCTCTCTTCTAATTCTCATTCTCACATTCCCTCTCTCTCTCCCCCAATCTCTCTCTTCTGTTTCTCATTCTCACATTCCCTTCCCTCCCCCCCCCCCCCCCGATCTCTCTCTTCTGTTTCTCATTCTCACATTCCCTCTCTCTCTCCCCCCAATCTCTTTCTTCTGTTTCTCATTCTCACATTCCCTCTCTCCCCCCTGATCTCTCTCTTCTAATTCTCATTCTCACATTCCCTCTCTCTCCCCCGATCTCTCTCTTCTATTTCTCATTCTCACATTCCCTCTCTCTCCCCCGATCTCTCTCTTACCTGGCAGATTTGCAGATGGTTACGTTGTCTATGGGGATTTAACAAACATCATGTTATTGTTTCATTTTTGAGGTTCTGGCATTCCGGAGCTGAAAGTCATCCTCCGAGGAGTCGTCCTGAAGGAGTATTTGACGCTCAAGGCGTTTGTAGCCAAAGTGATTGGACTGACAGCCTCTTTAGGGAGTGGGATGCCTCTGGGCAAAGAGGTGAGAACAGCAGTATGTGCCACACGTGCCAAACTGAAACAAGCGCAACATTCTACAGTTCTAAATACAGAACAAACCTTTGTCTACTGGGATGTCACAATTATAACAAAAACTGAAAAAAAAAGGTTTCCTTAACTAGTGTCTGGGAATCCAATCTCTTAGCCGTCATATGCTTCCTGAACAATTACATTCCTGAAAAATGTTGGTAATTTGGAAAAGTCGTCCAATACTTTCTCTGACCTCATTTTCTATAATGTACCCAGCAACTGCCACCGGTGCACACGTTCAGTGACAGTTAGCCCCTGGCTGTGCAATAGTAAAAAAAAAGGAAATTAGGAAGAAGAAATGCTGGTCACTTTTCCTCCCACTTCTTTCAAAAAAACTTTGTTGGGAAAACCCTGCATTTCATTTGCCAATTAATGTTTCTTTATAGATGATTTGAAGCAAATTAGGAGTGATCTGTTAATTTCTATTAAAAATAAGGAGAGGGCTCCCCTGCGCGGGTTGGTTCATTGGAGCTTGTAATACTTTCTATATCTTTGAAATCCAAAAAACAAGGAGAGGGAAACATTTCAAATATGTTGTGAGATCTAAAATGAATCTATTTGAAATGTATCCATAAAAGACACAATGGGGTTTATTTACTAAAGCTGGAGAGTCCAAAATCAGACTCCCTTCTGCATAGAAACCAATCAGCTTCCAGGTTTCATTGCCAAAGCTTCATTGAACAAGCTGAGGTTAGAAGCTGATTGGTTTCTATGCAGAAGGGAGTCTGATTTTGGACTCTCCAGCTTTAGTAAATAAACCCCAAATATGTAAGCCAAGAAGGAGCTGGTTTTGCACATCAAAATAGATTTTAAAAATTAAAAAAAAAAAAATAATAAACATGTTATACTGACCTGCTCTGTGTAATTGTTTTGCACAGAGCAGCCCTTATCCTCCTCTTCTGAGTTCCCCCTCTGACGTTCTTGGCTCCCCCATTACTGAGTGGCACCATTGCAAACTGCTTATTATGGGGGCACTTGTGCGGGCTCCATCCCATCCTGCCCCAGGCTGTGATTGACAGCAGCAGGAGCCAATGGCTTCCGCTGCTGCCTCCATGTCCAATGAGTAGAGAGAGAGAAAGAGAGACGCCCCTGAGCACTGGATCGAGATCAGGCTCAGGTAAGTATTTAGGGTGGCAGGGATGGGTGGGTGGGGTGGGCACCTGTTTAGAGAAGGGTTTTTACTTTAATGCAGAGAATGCATTAAGGTAAGAAATCTTCTACCTTTACAACCCCTTTAATTCATGCTTTCTAGAGCACTTTGCCCAGATTTGTTGAAGAACCATTTGTTCAAACCATGGCGAATGGGAGATCTTGTCCCTGGAATTGTGTTATCTGCTTTTTTATGTTCTTAATCAAACATTTTTTATATGAATCGAAAAGTAAAATGAATGTTTGTACCAGGTACAAAAAACAGGGAATAGCTATACAGTATATATATATATATATATATATATATATATATATGCATACACTGTATATATTTTTATATTATATGCATTAACTCATATATATACAGTTGCAAGAAAAAGTATGTGAACCCCTTGGGATTACGTGGAGTTTTGCATGAATTGGGCATAAAATGTGCTCTGAACGTCATCTAAGTCACAACAATAGAAGAACACAGTCTGCTGAACATAATACTACACAAACATTAGATGTTGCCATGGTTAATTGCACATAACATGTAAACATTCACAGTGCAGGGAGGAAAAAGTATGTGAGGCCCTAGCTTAATGACTTCTCCCAGAGCTAATTGGAGCCAGGAGTGAGCCAACCTTGACTCCAATCAGTGTGAGGATATTGGATGTGTTGTCCTGCCCTTAAAAAACACACACCTGTTTTGGGTTTAGTGGTTTCAAGAAGCACTGTCTGATATGAGCCATGCCTCGCAGAAAAGAGCTCTCAAAAGACCTACGATCAAGAATTGTTGACTTGCATGAAGCTGGAAAGGGTTACAAAAGTATCTCCAAAAGCCTTGATGTTCATGTGTCCACAGTAAGACAGACTGTCTACAAATGGAGAAAGTTTAGCACTGTTGCTACTCTCCCTAGGCGTGGTCATCCTGTAAAAATGACTGCAAGAGCACAGCGCAAAATGCTGCATGAGGTAAAGAAGAATCCCAGAGTGTCAGCTAAAGACCTACAGAAATCTCTGGCACATGCTAACATTTTTGTTGACACATCTACAATAAGGAAAATTAAACAAGAATGGAGTACATGGGAGGACACCACGGAGGAAGCCATTGCTGTCCAAAAAGAATATTGCAGCACATTTGAAGTTTGCAAAAGAGCACCTGGATGTTCCACAGCACTACTGGCAAAATATACTGTGGACAGATGAAACCAAGAATGAGTTGTTTGAGAAGAACACACAACACTATGTGTGGAGAAAAAAAGGCACAACACACCAACATCAAAACCTCATCCCCACTGTAAAACATGGCGGAGGGAGCATCATGGTTTGGGGCTGCCTTGCTGCCTCAGGGCCTGGACGAATTGTTGTCATTGATGGGAAAATTAATTCCAGAGTTTATCAAGACATTTTGCAGGAAAACGTACGACCATCTGTCCGCCAACTGAAGCTCCGCAGAGGATGGGTGATGCAGCAGGACAATGACCCAAAGCATACAAGTAATTCAACAAAACAATAGCTGCAACAGCACAGAATACGCCTTCTGGAGTGGCCCAGTCAGAGTCCTGACCTAAACCTGATTGAAATGCTGTGGCATGGCCTTTAGAGAGCGATTCACACCAGACATCCCAAGAATATTGCTACACTGAAACAGTTTTTTGAAGAGGAGTGGTCCAAAATTACTCCAGATCGTTGTGCAGGTCTGATCTGCAACTACAGGAAAGGTTTGGTTGAGGTTATTGCTGCCAAAGGAGGGTCAACCAGTTATTAAGTCCAAAGGTTCACATACTTTTTCCTCCCTGCACTGTGAATGTTTACATGTTATGTGCAATTAAACCATGGCAACATCTAATGTTTGTGTAGTATTATGTTCAGCAGACTGTGTTCTTCTATTGTTGTGACTTAGATGACGTTCAGAGCACATTTTATGCCCAATTCATGCAAAACTCCACGTAATCCCAAGGGGTTCACATACTTTTTCTTGCAACTGTATATATACACACTAACCTATATACATACATACGGCATACTGCCTTGAAAAAGCATTCATACCCCTTGAAGTTTTTCACATTTTGTCATGTTACAACCACAAATCTAAATGTATTTTATTGGGATTTTATGTGATAGACCAACACAATGTGGCACATAATTGCAAAGTGGAAGAAAAATGATAAATAGTTTTCAAAATTTTTTACAAATACATGTATGAAAATATCTGAAAAGTGGGGCGTGCGTTTTTATTCAGCCCCCTTTACTCTGATACCCCAAACTAAAATCTAATGGAATCAATTGCCTTCAGAAGTCAACTAATTAGTACATAGAGTCCACCTGTGTGCCATGTAATCTCAGTATAAATACAGCTGTTCTGTGAAGCCCTCAGAGGTTTGTTAGAGAACATTAGTGAACAAATAGCCTCCAAAAGGCCAAAAGACACACCAGACAGATCAGGGATAAAGTTGTGGAGAAGTTCAAAGCATGGTTAGGTTATAAAAAAAAATATCCCAAGCTTTGAACATTTCACGGAGCAGTGTTCAATCCATCATCTGAAAATGGAAGGAGTATGGAACAACTGCAAACCTACCAAACATGGCCTTCCACCTAAACTGAGCTAGGCTAGGAGAGCATTCATCAGAGAAGCAGCCAAGAGGCCCATGGTAACTCTAGAGGAGCTGCAGAGATCCACAGCTCAGGTGGGAGAATCTGTCCACAGGACAATTATTAGTTGTGCACTCCACAAATCTGGCCTTTATGGAAGAGTGGCAAGAAGAAAGCCATAAGAAGTCCCGTTTGCAGTTTGCAAGAAGCCATATGGAGGTTACAGCAAACATGTGGAAGAAGGGGCTCTGGTCAGAGGAGACCAAAATGTAACATTTTGGCCTAAAAGCAAAATGCTATGTGTGGTGGAAGGCTAATACCACACATCACCCTGAACACACCATCCCCACCGTGAAACATGGTGGTGGCAGCATCGTGTTGTGGGGATGCTTTTCTTCAGCAGGGACAGGGAAGCTGGTGAGAATTGATGGAAAGATGGATGGAGCCAAACACAGGGCAATCTTAGAAGAAAAAACCAGTTAAAGTCTGCAAAGGACTTGAGACCGGGGCCGAGGTTCACCTTCCAGCAGGACAACGACCCTAAACATCCAGCCAGAGCTACAATGGAATGGTTTAGATCAAAGCATATTCATGTGTTAGAATGGCCCAGTCAAAGTAAAGACCTAAATCCCATTGAGAATCTGTGGCAAAACTTGAAAATTGATGTTCCCAGACGCTTTCCATCCAACCTGACAGCTTGAGCGATTCTGCAAAGTAAATTGGGCAGAAATGCCCCTCTCTAGATGTACAAAGCTGGTGGAGACGTCCCCAAACAGACTTGCAGCTGGAATTGCAGTGAAAGGGGGTCCTACAAAGTATTGACTCCGGGGGGCTGAATACACATTTTTCACAGATTTATTTGTAAAGAAATATTGAAACCCATTTCTCATTTTCCTTCCACTTTACAATTATGTGCCACTTTGTGTCGGTCTATCACATCAAACCCAATAAAATACATTTTAAGTTTTTTGGTTGTAACATGACAAAATGTGGAAAATTTCAAAGGGTAGGAATACTTTTTCAAGGCAGTGTATATGTCATGTGCATTGACTGCACTCGGTTATCAGAATACAATATTTGTCATCCCAGTGGCCCTTTAAATGATAGTGATTGGCAAACTAATTGAGGGTAATATAATATCAGGCATTATGAGAAATCAGCACAAAAAGAGCCTGCATGCACCAAACACAAAAACACAGCAGGGCCCTTGATTTACATTTCAGGGTAATTACAGCTAAAAATAATGCACTGCTGAAAAGATTAGTCACTTGATAAGCTGTCGCGTTTTTAATAGCTGCACCGAGGAGTCCGGGGAGGAATTCCCCATCAGTGAAATTGTATTCTGTAAACTTGTAATGCCTGATAGCTGCGGTTTTCTTACCACGAGGGAGTCTGCGCTGCCATGTGGTCTACCATTGGCCACACACACATAGCAATTTGGCATCCAATTTTATTTTTTTTTCAGAAAATTCATTTTTACTTTAGAACATTATCCTATGTTGGTGACACATACAACCTAAAGTGTATTTAAAGCCAAGTTTTAAAACATTTTTTTAACATAGTAGGGAAGAATGGGATCCTCATTCGGGTTTAGTATCAGGTTTTCCAGCATATATTCAGCATGATTCATGTTCCATATTAAGTATGCTAATAAAACATCGGGGATTATATTCTAGGTGAATAATACCATCATTGTTTATACATTAATTTGAATTCATATATTATATATTACATTACATACATCACACTATTGCAGATTGTTATTATTGATGATATTTCCACACCATTGTCGAACTTGTTAATATCACAGTTTCAATTATATTATTATGAGATAGGAATTGTTATTTTATTATCAATACTCCAGTATCTTTTTTCCTTTTATTCACTAGTTTTTTTTTTATTGTTTTTAAGATGCCCTTGTTGTTTTTTTATTTTTTAGAATCATAAGCTATATACGATGATGTCTCTCCAAACAGTATCGTCACCTGCTGACTTGGCCTCATCCAGTGGCAGTTTAACCATTTCAATACCGGGCACTTTCATCCCACTCCTGCTTATGTCAATTTTCAGCTTATGGTGAAAATTCCATGAACAAATCAAGTGTTTTTGAATGGCCTAGGTGGCTGACCGCTTGCCCGCCTGCCCGCCGCCCTATAGCAGATATACTACTACAGGGCGGCACAGCTGTGCAAAATCACGTATATATACATGATTTGCATTCCCGGGTAGGGAGCGCTTGTGCCACCCTACCCGTGCCGCTATTGGCTGCTGGGGATGTCAATCGCCGGGTCCCGGCTGGCGATTTCTGGCCGAGGCTCAGTGATCATCGGCAAAGCTGACAGGGGAGAGACCTGTGTGTAAACAACACAGGTCTTTCTCCTGTCAGAATGGACGTGCTGCTTTTTGTACTTTTTTGCACAGCAGAGACATACAAAACAGCATGTCTCCCAAGTAAAACAGCACACAGTTGACCCTTGATCGCCCCAGATGTTAACCCCTTCCTGTCCAGTGTCATTAGTAAAGTGTCAGTGCTTCTTATTAGCACTGATCACTGTATTAGTGTTGCTGGGGATGTCAGTGGCAGTTAGTCAGTTCTCACCCAGTGTCAGAATGCCCCCGCAGTCCCGCTATAAGTCGTTGATTGCCGCCATTACTGGTGTGTGTATATATATATATATATATATATATATATATATATATAAATATAAATTAAATTATTTATTTATTTTAATTATTATTATTTATTTTTTTTATATATATATATATATATATATATATATATATATATATCTACATACCACCATTTGTAAATGCTATAACTTTCACGTAAACTAATTAATGTACACTTATTGGGATTTTTTAAAGCAGACGTAGCAGAATGCATTATGGCTAGATTGTACGCCCCTTGAGGGTTAGGGACCTTAGATTGTACGCCCCTTGAGGATTAGGGACCGTAGATTGTAGGAGGGTTAGGGACCTTAGATTGTACGCCCCTTGAGGATTAGGGACCGTAGATTGTACGCCCCTTGAGGGTTAGGGACTGATGTGAATGTACAATATATATGTAAAGCGCTGCGTAGATTGATGGTGCTATATAAGTACCTGAAATAAATAAATAATACATTTATGAAGAAATTTTATTTTTTTATCTTTTTATTGGATGTGTTATAGCAAAAATCCCCCAAATTTTTTTTTTTTTTTAAAATTGTCTGTGTTTTTGGTTTATAGCTCGAAAAAATAAAAACCACAGAAGTGATCAAATACCACCGAAAGAAAGCTGTATTTGTGGGAACAAAATTACATAAATTTAATTTATATACTGCTTTGCATGACCATGCAATTGTCAGTTACAGTAACACAGCGCCGTATCGCACAAAATGGCTTGGTCAGGAAGGGGGTAAATCTCTGGAGGGTGAGGGGTTAGGGAGGGGCGGGAAGATGTTCAAAATGAGCAAGAAGTGGGCAGCCAAAAATGCAGAGGACAGATGCAAATGGGAAAAAGGAAAAGGAATTTGTTCAGAGGAAAAGACCGAAACTCTAGTTCTCCACCACGACAATGCTCCTGCACATGATGCATTAACCACTTCAATACCAGGCACTTTTACCCCCTTCCTGCCCGAGCCGATTTTCATCTTTCAGCGCTGTCACACTTTTTATGACAATTGCGTGGTCATGCAACACTGTACCCAGTGACATTTTTATCAATATATTTTTCACACAAATAGAACTTTCTTTTGGTGATACTTAATCACCACTGGGTTTTTTATCTTTTGCTAAATAAACGAAAAAAAAAACCAAAAATGTTGAACAAAAAACACATTTTCTTCCATACTGTTATAACATTTTGCAAATAAATAATTTTTCTTTATAAATTTAGGCCAAAATGTATCCTGCAACATTTCTTTGGTGAAAATAACCCAAATCAGTGTTTATTATTAAGTCTGTAGGAAAGTTATAGAGTTTTCCAACCAGGGGCGGACTGACAACTCATGGGGCCCCCGGGCAATAGGGGATCATGGGGCCCCTGTGTCCTTGCTCAAACTCAAAAAAGCCTATGAAAAAGGTACCAGGGGCATCTCATGGGGCCCACTACTGACCCCAGGCCCTCGGGCAGTGCCTGAGTTTCCAAATTGTCAGTCCGCCCGTTTCCAACTATGGTATATATATCTGAAAATTGACCAGTCCTGATGTACTGATCGTCTCATTTCTTGAGGCCTGAAAATGTCAGGACAGTACAAATATCCCCCAAATGACCTCTTTTTGGAAAGTAGACTGTCCGACATATTTAGTAAGAGGCATGGTGAGTTTTTTAAGTCGTAATTTTTTTGGAAATTGAATAAATAAAACATTTTTTTTTTTTTACTATTTTTTTGACATTCTGTCACCAGTGCAGTACAGTCTCATCATATGACCCGATGTGGCGGTGATCAGGGACACTGACTGGTGACAGTATGTAAAAAAAAAAGTGATAATTGTTTTCAATTTTTAAATATTTTTCTTCTTATTTCATTTTTTTTTCTTTTTTTTACCAATATTTTCTAACATGCTGTGACCGATACAGGGGAGGTATTCAGGATTTTCTTTTTTTTTTTTTTTTTTATATGTTGTGCTTGCTTATAACAGTGATAATTACTGTTATAAGCAACCATTTTTTTCTGAATGAAATTCATTTAGTGTGAACTATTGTAATTAGATGTGATTGGCTACAGCTAATCACATGGTACAGATGGGTTGTGATTGGCCCTGTCTGTACCATGTGATCACCGTGACCAATCACAGAGATCAACACAATAGTACACAATGAATGGTATGAATGGAAGCCATCCATTGTGTACAATTGTCATGTGATCTGCTAAGATTGGTTTCAGCAATCACATGGTACCGGCAATGGCCTGGTATACTGATCTGTGACCCGTTGTGTACTCTTAGAGTTCCATGGAACCCTGGATGATAAACCCTGCTCTAAATATTTATAGACTATAATATAATATATTAATGTGCACTGATCAGGTCCTTACTTTTGTTAGTTTTTTTTGTTACATTTTATACATTTTAAATACATCCTTCCTATAATTTACTGAACTGACATTGTAGCCCTCCCAATATAGTTTATATTTCATGTAGAAAAGGCGACATTTGTGTGGAGTAACTCACATATTGTATATTTATATCACTTGTATATTATACAACTCATAATAATACGTCCCGTGTTCCAGGGTCCGTTCGTGCACATCGCGCCAGTATCTGTGCCGTTGTACTCAGCAAGTTCATGTCCGTCTTCTGTGGCGTGTACGAGGTAAGGAGCTGAAGTTGATGGAACTGTATAGAAGGTTGACTTGTCTATGTCTTCTTGTGATTGGCTTATTGCCTTGTTGGCTGCCAGTAGCGGTTGCCTTTGCTGCCTGGGTACGGCTGCAACTGCCTGTATTGGTGATTTACCCAACTAGTTCTATCTTTGTTCTCCTTGATTGTGTGTTGGGAATTGTTATGGAATAAACGATGTACTAAACCCATGACCATGCAGATCCTCTAAAGCTCATTTTTATTTTTTAATTCAAATCTCTATCTAAAAACGTTCAGGCTTTTGTTGTTCATAGTGTAGGGAAAGAGAAAATGTAGAATTTACATAGGAACTGTTAAAAAAACTGACCATGTATTAATATAATATTGCCACATTTTTTAAAGGATATGTTAAAAAACTGACCACGTATTAATATAATATTGCCACATTTTTTAAAGGTTTGAGGTTTACAGCGGTATATTGAATTTCCCACTAGCTTCATGAAAAAATTGAGGGTCCTGGAAGTAAGATTAATGACAATCCCATTCCCCTTTATTTTATATTTGTATGGAGATTCTGCCATGGGGCAGGTCTTCAACTTTGCCACTCTGTATCTGGCAATGACTGGAAGGAGGGAGGCTGGAACCAGGATTTCCACGGAGTTGTGGGGGACTACCTTTTGGGATCCCCCATTTTTTTGAGAATGTTAAAGCCACAAACTGAATGAGGGAGGCTGGAACCAGAACATCAAGGGTGGGGTAGGAGCTACCCTTTGGAAACTTCCAATTTTCTCAATGTTAAAGAAATGACTGGAAGGAGGACACCTAGAACCAGGACATCAAGGTGTGGGGTGGGATGAGTGCTACTCTTTGGGATTCTATAGTTTTCTGAGAATCTTAAGGCCATAACTGGAAGGAGGGTGGTTGGAACCAGGACATCAAGGGTGGGGTAGGAGGTACCCTTTGGAAACTTGCAATTTTCTCAATGTTAAAGCAATGACTGGAAGGAGGACACCTAGAACCAGGACATCAAGGTGTGGAGTGGGATGAGGGCTACCCTTTGGGATTCTATAGTTTTCTGAGAATCTTAAGGCCATAACTGGAAGAAGGGTGACTGGAACCAGGACATAAAGGGTGGATTGGGGGATCCATAGTTTTTGTAGAATGTTGAATCCATGACTGGAAGGAGGAAGGCTAGAACCAGGATGTCAAAGGTGGAGTGAGAGGCTACCCTTTGGGATCCACCCATTTTTGGGAATCTGACAGGTGATTGAACCTACAAGCATACAATACATAAAAAAAAAGAATATTAACTCCAGGCTTAGGTTACAATTAATGTTCCAGGCACAGTGAAGACTAGTTGCCTAGATTTAAACTCACCCTTTAAGGCCAAGCCTGCCCCAAAAGCTGTTGGAGTTTGTAGATTTTGCTGCCATCTCAGGCATTGATGTATTTTGGCCTCTTAGTCCATGCCATCCTTTGGAATTATACAGAAAACACCATGGAAGAGGCTGGGCAAAATTCAAGGGTACTTTGTTTTTTTTAATAGGCCTTTTTACTATCATTACAGTTCATTGTCTGAGCTTTAAAGTGTGCCTAGAATTCCAACAGCATAGTAGAAAAACTAAGAATACACAACTCACCAACCAATCACAAGTATAAAGCAGCGTAGTATAGTCATATATATATAGAAACTGGTCTTTGACTGGCTAAGTTAGTGGTATTTTGTAAAAAAGAATTTAGCAATGACAGCCTATAGCTGAGTACAGGTTTCCTTTTAGACACATTTTGGATGAAAAATTGCTGGTGGAGCTCTGGACAGTTGGGCCTAAATAGGTCCTGGGGGATATAAGCAATATGTATAGTAAGGAGAAAAGCTCTACTACTGTAGTAGAGACTCCAATTAATTTTTATAAAAAGTATCAACATCTATCTAACTGTTCAACACATTTGGGGACTTCACTGATCCCTCTCTGTCAGGGCTTGAAAAGATATGGACAGGTAAAGGAAAAGGAATTATTCTCAAGTGCATAGGCTTGTTCAGGTTGCCGGTGTTACTATGTTAAAGTGTTCGTCCACCCAAATGTAACTTGTAGCCAGGGGCGGACTGACCATTTGGAAACTCGGGCACTGCCCGAGGGCCTGGGGTCAGTAGGGGGCCCCATGAGATGCCCTTGGTACCTTTTTCATAGGCTTTTTGAGTTTCGGCAAGGACACAGGGGGCCCCCATGATCCCCTATTGCCCGGGGGCCCCATGAGTTGTCAGTCCGCCCCTGCTTGTAGCAATTATGTGCCAATACATCTGTTAACTGCCACATCTGGAAATGCATCCTTGTAACATGTTTGTATATATACAGTAATAACAAAGCAGTTTTGTGAAATCCCCTGATATGTACGTTCCTTTGATGTCATGCTGCTAGCATTCATACCTGTAAATATATAACACCCTTACTCAGGGACCCTACCGGAGCCTGGATCTTTTGGCCGCTGGCTGTGCTGTGGGGGTTGGATGCTGCTTTGGTGCACCTCTTGGAGGCAAGTGCTGCTTATGAGTTTTAACTCTACTGGGCCTGCATCTCTTCTGGCTGCTACTCACCTCTTACCCTTCTCTGTCCATGTTCACCCATCTGTGTAAGGCAGCTACATGAGATATGTAGTGTTAAGATTGGTCCACATTAGTCTCGGGCTATCAGACTTGAATGTAGGTGTTTTTCCTATTTTAGTTGCTAGAAAATTGAAAAAAAAGGCTGAAACTATTTAAGAAGAGAAAAAGTATTTAAGAAGACTAACTAACTGGTATCTCTTGCCAAAGCCTTCTGTTTGGGTAGATTTGGGAAGGGTTAAATCCTATGTCCATATCTATATGTCCTCTGGGAGAGTCACTCTCTCTCTATTTGTCCTGGTGAACACTCTCACCAGGACAGAGAGTGATTGGAAACCTAAGATTTTGCCATGGTTGCTAAAACAGGAGGAGTTTTCCAACGGGGACATTTGTTCTAGTGACATATGTCTAAGAGGGGATTTCCCTCACTTTCTGTTGAGTCTCTGGGACAGAAAGCGAAGGTGAATATTCCTAATGGGACACAGGAAGCAACAAAAAAAAAACAAAAAACTTTACAATGGCCCTAACCTTTCACTAATCTATTCAAAACAAAAAAAAAGTTTTAGCTAAAGATAGATTTAAATTTTAAACAGTTTTATTTATTTCAGGTACTTATATAGTGCTGTCAATTTATGCAGCATTTTACATACAGTATATATTGTACATTCACATCAGTCCCTAACCCTCAAGGGGCATACAATCTAAGGTACCTAACTCACATTCATACATACACATACTAGGGCCAATTTAGACAGGAGCCAATTAACCTACCAGCTTGTCTTTGGAGTGTGGGAGGAAACCGGAGTACCTGGAGGAAGCCAATGCAGGGACAGGGACAACATGCAAGCTCCAGGCAGGAGGTGCCATGGCTGGGATTTGAACCAATGACCCTACTGCCAGGCAGAAGTGCTAACCATTTAGCCACTGTGCTGCCCCAATAGTTTTCCTCTCCATTCTTACCTCACTCTAAAGCACCAATGAACAAACCCTTTTTTCCACTATGTTCATGTGGCAAACTAAATAAAACTGAATTCCAGATATGCCAATTTTTTGGATATAGGTACATTGGTTCAGCTTGGACCACTGTAAATATGCATGTGCTATACCTGTGGGATCCCCGTGGTAGCTGGAAATCAGTGTAGTAGCCACCGCTAGTCAAGTAATCTCCACTAGCTTCCAGGTTCAGTGTAGTAGACACCGCTACTCAAGTGATCTCCACTAGCTTCCAGGTTCAGTGTAGCAGACACCGCTACTCAAGTGATCTCTCACTAGCTTCCAGGTTCAGTGTAGTAGACACTGCTACTCAAGTGATCTCCACAAGCTTCCACGTTCAATGTAGTAGACACTGCTACTCAAGTGATCTCCACAAGCTTCCAGGTTCAATGTAGTAGACACTGCTACTCACGTGATCTCCACAAGCTTCCAGGTTCAATGTAGTAGACACCGCTACTCAAGTGATCTTCACAAGCTTCCAGGTTCAGTGTAGTAGACACCGCTACTCACTCAAGTGATCTTCACAAGCTTCCAGGTTCAGTGTAGTGTAGTAAACACGCTACTCAAGTGATCTCCACTAGCTTCCAAGTCCTCTGCTGCATTATGAACACAAGGGGTTTCTTGTTTGGCATGAGCCATTTTTCAATGAATGCAAAGAGCTCTCTGATAGGATGAGGTAGAGAGGTGGATGGTGACATTGCAATCTCCACCTCATCCAATAAGATGAGGCATTCATTTACACTTCCTGTGTTCAGAAAGCAGTGGGGACACAAGACCTGGAAGTTAGTGGAGACCGCTGTAGTGGCGGGGCATACTACAGTGATTTCCAGCTTCCAGAGGGATCCCAGAGGTATGGCACATACATACTCACATTGGTCCAGCTTTGTGAAAATTGCCATACCTGGAATTCATCTTTAAGTAATTACCATAGGTGGGAAATCTTCTGATCTCACCCTGAGACTCCAGCTAATCAGTGTTTCTGCTGGGTCTCCAGGCTGCCGGAACCTCCGTCCACAGGATATCAGGATCTACAGGATATCTACAGGATATCAGGAATAGTGACTGCAATATCACTACTCCTGTTAGCTAGGCCCTGGAAGTGGAGAGCTAAAACTGGAGAAGATGAGATATCGGGGAGGATGTGTGGGCTGTGTTCTGTCTCCTCTTCCAGCTCCTCCTTTCTGACCAACGGATCCATGCCAGTGGTTTTCCCCCCAGCCATTGTGCTGTTTTTTTTTTTTCCTTTATTGTCCATTCATAGGCTGGTCTGTGAACAAGTCCATGACCAAGATTTTGTTGGTTGGTGTTATTCTAAATAATAATCTGGGCAGTTCTAATTGCAATGAGGAACAATGAGGTCAGGAAACTGGCTGCTCTATCATGCAAGGGTGATTCCCAATATTGCCCACAGTTAACAATCCATTGGCAGCTTGAAAATTTCACACACATATTTCAAACATAAATGTAGCTATTTTCTTATAATTCTGCTTTAATTTGCTAAAAACTGTCTCATGTAGCTCAATTCACAGATGTCTCTTTAACTGGAACCGAGAGGCATGCTACTAGGTCTGCCATCTCATCCCTTTAAAACCAAACACATATTAATTACACAGGTTCTGTGACTGATTAAGGTGGTAATTAAACTCACTTAGTGGCTCATCTGCATTAAATTAGCCTCAGGACCCTTGTCATTAATATATGTTCAGGTGTAAAGGGATGAGGTGGCAACGCCTCCATTGTCATCTTCATTGAAGGTCTGCTTATCTCATTATACTCCACTCCTGTGTTTCCTTTCTTGGTTTCCTATGTTTTCTTGTTTCATTTCTTGGAGTTGGAAGGATCCTTGTTCTCATTTGCCTGGAGAAGGCATCTTTTCCAGCTCTGAGGAGTCAAACAGCTGCATGCAGATTGGGGTATTCTAAGAATCGGGGTTGGGTTGAGGTCTTTAACTCACAAGCTGATTTTTTTTTCTCCTTTGTTTTTAACTGTCTGTTGTGTTTTCCGTTGTTTTGTTATTGGCTTGTGACTTTGTATGTCTGTCAATTATAACTCATGACCCCCTCATCATCTCCTTCCTTGTTACATACTGTACTTGTTGTCGCTCCAATATGGCCCCCCCCTCCCTTTTCCTGTTGGACTTGTTGCCCACTTCTCCTTCTGTGCTTCTGTGGTCTCTCTCATCTCGATTGTCTTATTTTCTACTGTCCATGTCCTGTGGTCGCCCATGGCCTATCAGTAGCAGGCGTACTATTACACTGACGTTCTCACGGTGGGATGTGCAGTTGGTGTTGGCTGTTGCTTTGGGACCCCCCTAGGAGGCAAGTTGGATATGATCCTGAGAGTGAATTGTTTTGTGATGTATGCAATGATTATTCTAAGTACACCAGAAAGACACAAAATACCAACACGATGTTAAAGGACCCCTCCACCCAAAAGCAATATTGTAGTTATGGGGGTTTCCCAGAGGACTGAGTAAGCCTTCGGGTTCTTGCATGTCTTGGATACTCCAACAGAGAGATCTCCTTGCCATAATTCTCAACTATCTTCTTGCCCACCTCTGAGTTTTGGGTGTTCCTGCCCACTTTGTGTAATCCATCTTGTCCTGGTATGTGCTCCATAAATAAAAACAATGCAGAAGGGATGGCGGGGGCCCCTCATAATGGCCAAAGCAGGTATACAAACCCAAGAACTCAGCGGAGATCTCACCAAAAATGCTCAAGAGACAGAAGAAACCATCAGAAAATGTAACTCTCCTGGATCTTCCAAACCCTGAAACCCTCAACTGACCCTTTAAGTAATTTTAATTTAGCCTGTAGGAAATAAGATGGTAGTACAGGGCATCGGCTAATGCAGATGTGGAAAAGAATCAAATGTAAAAAGTATGCAATTTTTCATGTACAAAGGTAAGAAACAAACACACTGAATTAAACTAAACTGCCCATATTACACCCTCCCCCCCACAAAAAATTAAAAACCTCCACAAGCACAATACAAACTTTCCATTTTAGCGAACCTTCGCCAACAGCAAAATCCATTTAGCTGAAATCACTCTGCTTCTCGGTGGTAATTATTTATACAGAGTAGAAAAAAGAAGTCCCAGTGAGTCATGGAAGATTTGGGTTTTTTTTTGTTATGGCCCAGATGTTCTCAGCAGGGTGGCTACACACAGCAGTTAAGGATCAAAAATGACCTATTTCATGCATCCTATGATAAGTACTGTAATTCTTCTAAAAAGTGGAGTCCTATTATATAGCTTCAGTTAAATGTCATTGGATGTAACAAATGTGTGACTGGAGAATGTAGAGCATGGTGTACTTTGTGTCAACCACTCGTCATGAAGCCATGTGTTACGTTGTGTCATGGTGTGTGTGTTATCGCCTAGGTGTCTTATTCAGCATTGAGGTCACCTCCTCCTATTTTGCGGTAAGGAACTACTGGCGTGGATTCTTTGCGGCGACCTTCAGCGCCTTTATTTTTCGCGTCCTGGCTGTATGGAACAAAGATGCGGGTAGGTTACAGTGTACATTGTTTCATCAGAGAGTACAGAAAAAAAAAATATATATAGTTAGCACTATGGTTGTTAACACATTACACTATACACGTTAAGTTATACTCTGATCAGAGCTCACAAAGGGCTAGGGACTTTCTCATTACCCCCATGTGACAGCGTTGATGCTAGGGGATTGGTCAATGAGGCACCCGGAGCTGCATCATGTGAAGAAAGGAAAAGAGTCAAATGTTCCCCATACTCTAAATTACTTAGTATTACACTTTTCCATCCGCAGCCCAATAGGCCGATGGGAAAGTGAAGGGAATTTTACAAGACTACATTGGCAAAGCACCTAATAACATGTAAATATGAGCATAAAGCTCCCCCTGCTGGCTGGGACACACAAATATGAAATATTCAACTGAAGTACAATATATATATATATATATATATATACACACACACACACACACATATATATATATATATTATATATACACACACACACATATATATATATATATATATATATATATATATATATATATATATGCACTACACTCTAGCAGGGCCAACCCAGACATTATAATATTATTTATTATAAGTACTTACAGTGGGGCAAAAAAGTATTTAGTCAGCCACCAATTATGCAAGTTCTCCCACTTAAAAAGATGAGAGAGGCCTGTAATTGGCATCATAGGTAGACCTCAACTATGAGAGACAAAATGAGAAAAAAAATCCCGACAATCACATTGGATGATTTGGAAAGAATTTATTTGCAAATTATGGTGGAAAATAAGTATTTGGTGAATATCAAAAGTTCATCTCAATACTTTGTTATATATCCTTTGTTGGCAATGACAGAGGTCAAACGTTTCCTGTAAGTCTTCACAAGGTTGGCACACTGTTGCTGGTATGTTGGCCCATTCCTCCATGCAGATCTCCTCTAGAGCAGTGATGTTTTGGGGCTGTCGCTGGGCAACACGGACCTTCAACTCCCTCCAAAGGTTTTCTATGGGGTTGAGATCTGGAGACTGGCTAGGCCACTCCAGGACCTTGAAATGCTTCTTACGAAGCCACTCCTTCATTGCCCGGGCAGTATGTTTGGGATCATTGTCATGTTGGAAGACCTAACCACGTTTAATTTTCAATGCCCTTGCTGATGGAAGGAGGTTTGCACTCAAAATCTCACGATACATGGCCCCATTTATTCTGTCCTGTACATGGATCAGTCGTCCTGGTCCCTTTGCGGAGAAACAGCCCCAAAGCATGATGTTGCCACCCCCATGCTTCACAGTAGGTATGGTGTTCTTTGGATGCAACTCAGCGTTCTCTCTCCTCCAAACACCACGAGTTGTGTTTCTACCAAACAGTTCTATTTTGGTTTCATCTGACCATATGACATTCTCCCAATCCTCTTCTGGATCATCCAAATGCTCTCTAGCAAACTTCAGACGGGCCCGGACATGTACTGGCTTAAGCAGGGGGACACGTCTGACACTGCAGGATCTGAGTCCCTGGCGGCGTAGTGTGTTACTGATGGTAGCCTTTGTTACTTTGGTCCCAGCTCTCTGCAGGTCATTCACTAGGTCCCCCTGTGTGGTCCTGGGATTTTTGCTCACCGTTCTTGTGATCATTTTGACCCCACGGGGTGAGATCTTGCGTGGAGTCCCAGATCGAGGGAGATTATCAGTGGTCTTGTATGTCTTCCATTTTCTAATTATTGCTCCCACAGTTGATTTGTTCACACCAAGCTGCTTGCCTATTGCAGATTCAGTCTTCCCAGCCTGGTGCAGGTCTACAATTTTGTTTCTGGTGTCGTTTGACAGCTCTTTGGTCTTCACCATAGTGGAGTTTGGAGTGTGACAGTTTGAGGTTGTGGACAGGTGTCTTTTATACTGATAACAAGTTCAAACAGGTGCCATTGATACAGGTAATGAGTGCAGGACAGGGGAGCCTCTTAAAGAAGAAGGTACAGGTCTGTGAGAGCCAGAAATCTTGCTTGTTTGTAGGTGACCAAATACTTATTTTCCACCATAATTTGCAAATAAATTCTTTCCCAATCAGCCAATGTGATTGTCTGGATTTGTTTTCTCATTTTGTCTCTCATAGTTGAGGTCTACCTATGATGCCAATTACAGGCCTCTCTCATCTTTTTAAGTGGGAGAACTTGCACAATTGGTGGCTGACTAAATACTTTTTTGCCCCACTGTATATAGGACCATCAATTTATGTGGCACTTTACATATCTATTATACATTCACATCATCAGCCCCTGCCCTCAAGGAACTTACAATCTAAGGTCCCTAACTCACATTCATACCTATTAGGACCAATTTAGACAGGAGCCAATTAACCTACCAGCATGTCTTTGGAATGAAGGAAGAAACCAGAAAACCTGGAGGAAACCCACACAGACACAGGTTGAACATGCATACTCCAGGCAGGTAGTGTTGTCGTTGGGTTTCGAACCGACGACTCTAGTACTGCCAGGGTTGTACAGGTCCATACAGAATTTTATATAAAAGATAGCCTATGTAAAGGTGGACCAAAATGGAGGTTTCTCAGGCACCTCTTTGATTCCTCATTGACTGTCTCCCCTCTGTCCTATCTTTTTCCCACTCTTGGATTTAACTGTCAGCCTCATTATCTTCACTATGGTATCTCCCAGACAGGTAGACACAGCAGGAACAGTAAGGAGAGGAGATTGCTGGAGGAACCTCATAGCACTGGATTAGGTCCTTATCATAGGTTAATAAACTTGCATATTCCACTTATTCAACCTGCACCCAAAAAAAACCCCAAATCAGTACTGTTGGAAAGATTTGTTAACTCAAAATACTCAAGGGAACCCCAGATTTTTTTGAACAGTGTTTATAACTCAAAAAAAAAAAAATAGATCCAACAAATAAGCTGAGTATTTTTTTTTCCAGTTACCATCACCGCGCTATTCCGCACTAACTTTCGTATGGAGTTCCCCTTTGACCTTCAAGAGTTACCGGCTTTTGCAGTTATTGGGTAAGACCTCTTGTTTCCACACTTCAGCCTAATCCATCCTCTAAAAGCCAGGTAACTAACATTTCCAGAAGGAGGTTACCTATGGCACTTTCATGACAAACAGAAGGTTGAAAAAAGACATATCCATCCATTTCTATCAGTTTCTGGAATTTTATCCCTGTGGGGAAACTGTTGCAATTGCTGCAAACAGGAAAATAAGAATCCTTCCTTATTTCCCCAAGTGTAGCTGCATTATTTTCTACACATTATCCTTTATTAACTAAGTCATGTACCTTAGATAGTGAGCCTGACGTGAAGAGGTAGGCCTCCCGTACAGCTCTAGCTCGAGGACCACTGGTGGTGGGACAATAGCCACAGGAGCACGATGAGGTATGAGGTATGAGTGCCTGTGATAATTCCAGTAGTAGGTGGGTGAGTGGAAGTCCACAGACAAGTCCACAGGTGAAGAATCAGGACAGGTTGAAGGTGGACAGCTAGACATGGATCTTGCTCGATGGCAGGTTATAGGTAAGTAACAGCAGGAAGCAGAATCCAGATGCAGACTTGCCGGACTGACGAACTGTAGCCAGCAGGGAGGCAGATACAAAGTCAGATGAGCCGGGTCAGTTACAGTTGGGTAGATCAAGCATAGTCGGCAGACAGCAGAGAAGTCAGCTCCACCCCAAGTCAGCAGCAGAGGTACAATTGGGCAAGATCAGGAAGCAGAAGAGTAATCCAGGCAATCCGGGGTCGGGCAGGTAGCAGACAAACAAAGATCAGGAACAAGCCGGGTAATATCAGATGTCAGGTACAAGGATCAGGAACAAGCCGGGTAATATCAGAGGTCAGGTACAAGGATCAGGAACAAGCCCGGTAATATCAGAGGTCAGGTACAAGAATCAGGAACAAGCCGGGTAATATCAGAGGTCAGGTACAAGGATCAGGAACAAGCCAGGTAATATCAGAGGTCAGGTACAAGGATCAGGAACAAGCAGGGTAATATCAGAGGTCAGTCACAAGTATCAGGAACAAGCAGGGTAATATCAGAGGTCGGGCACAAAGATCAGGAACAAGCAGGGTAATATCCGAGGTCAGGCTCAAAGATCAGGAACAAGCCAGGTCATTTCAGAGGTCAGGTACAAGGATCAGGAACAAGCCGGGTAATATCAGAGGTCAGTTACAAGGATCAGGAACAAGCCGGGTAATATCAGAGGTCGGGCACAAAGATCAGTAACAAGCAGGGTAATATCAGAGGTCAGGTACAAGGATCGGGAACAAGCCGAGTAATATCAGAGGTCGGGCACAAGGATCAGGAACAAGCCAGGTAATATCAGAGGTCAGGTACAAGGATCGGGAACAAGCCGGGTAATATCAGAGGTCAAGTACAAGGATCAGGAACAAGCTGAGTAATATCAGAGGTCAGGTACAAGGATCAGGAACAAGCCGGGTAATATCAGAGGTTGGGCACAAGGATCAGGAACAAGCTGGGTAATATCAGAGGTCAGGTAAAAGGATCAGGAACAAACAGGGTAAAATCAGAGGTCAGGCACAAGGATAAGGAACAAGCCAAGCCAGGGTAATATCAGAGGTCGGGTACAAGGATCAGGAACAAGCCGGGTAATATCAGAGGTCAGGCACAAGGATCAGGAACAAGCCGGGTAATATCAGAGGTCAGGGTCACAAAGATCAGGAACAAGCAGGGTAATATCAGAGGTCAGGGTACAAGGATCAGGAACAAGCCAGGGTAATATCAGAGGTCAGGGTACAAGGATCACGAACAAGCTGGGTAATATCAAGGTCAGGTATCAGAGGGGTCGGGGGCACAAGGATCAGGAACAAGCCGGGTAATATCAGAGGTCAGGTACAAGGATCAGGAACAAGCCAGGTAATATCAGAGGTTGGGCACAAGGATCAGGAACAAGCCGGGTAATATCAGAGGTCGGGCACAAGGATCAGGAACAAGCCGGGGTAATATCAGAGGTCAGGTACAAGGATCAGGAACAAGCCGGGTAATATCCGAGGTCAGGTACAAGGATCAGGAACAAGCCAGGTAATATCAGAGGTTGGGCACAAGGATCAGGAACAAGCCGGGTAATATCAGAGGTCGGGCACAAGGATCAGAAACACACTCAGAAGCTGCAGACCAAACAGCAATGAGACAAGACTGAAGCCAGTTTAAATGGCTCTTTTGGTGGCAGTATTAGTGACAGGTGTGCATCTGGATGCGCGAGCGCCCACTCGTGGGCTGGAAATCATATTAGTAGGCATCACTACCCCAGTGATCTCCACTAGGTTACAGGTCATGAGCTGCTGTACTTCTACTTATTGATCAAAGGACTGTAGTAGCAACTTTGGGAACACCAGGTAAAACTCCGGACACAAAACTTGAGGAAAACAAACCTTTCATTTACCAGCTGGGACTTAGGCTGACAGTGTCTGTAAAGCTAAGTGCCTTCGAAAGCCTCTTACATGGTGTATATACCAACAATTACATCACAATGCATATTTCTCCTCTTTCACTTTCTGTACATTCAAAAGGCTTTCTAAACTATGCAGTATATGGCCTTGAGTACCAGCTACAGATTAGAACACATTACTTCACAGGAAATAAGGTAGAGGGAAGTGAGCTGGTGGCCTTACTTTTGTAAATAGAGGCTGCTAGAAATGTTAAAGTGTAAAGGGGAACTCTGCAATATCTGGGTGCTGCCACAGGACAATACCTACTCTGCAAAGGCTTGCATTCAGGGAACACTGCACTCAATGAACACAAAGTGTTCTCTGATTGGATGAGGTGTAGATCCTAATGTCAACACCCCACCTTGTCTAATCAGAAAACACTTCGCATTCATTAACCACTTGACCTTTCAGAAAGGTTTTACCCTCTTCATGTCCAGGGCATTTTTAGCTATTTGGCACTGGGCTATTATTTATTTATTTCAGGTACTTATATAGCGCTGTCAATTTACACAGTACATATAGATTGTACATTCACATCAGTCCCTAACCCTCAAGGGGCGTACAATCTAAAGTCCCTAACTTACATTCATACATACACATACTAGGGACAATTTAGACAGGATCCAATGAACCTACCAGCATGTATTTGGAGTGTGGGAGGAAACCAGAGTACCCGGAGGAAACCCACACAGGTACAGGTAGAACATGCAAACACCAGGCAGGTGGTGCCGTGGTTGGAATTTGAATCAGTGAACCTAGTACTGCCAGGCAGAAGTGCTAACCATTTAGCCACTGTGGTGCCCATATTCTAACTGGCAGTTGCTTAGCCATGCAACATTGTACCCAAATGAAATTTATATAGCACTTTTTGCACACAAATAGAGCCTTCCTTTGGTGGTATTTAAATCACCATTGCTTTTTTTTGCTATATAAATGAAAAAATACAGAAACATTTTGGGAAAAAATAGTTTTTCTTGTTTCTATTATAAAATTTTGCAAACAATCTTTGTTCATAAATGTAGGCCAAAATGTGCTCTGCTTGGTAAAAATAACCAAAACCAGTGTACATTATTTAGTCTGTGTGAAAGTTATAGACTCTGCAAACTATGGTATATGTATTTTTTGAAAACTGACCAATCCTGATGTACTGATCTCATTTCTTGAGGCACTAAAATGCCAGGACAGTACAAATATCCCCAAATTACCCCTTTTTGGAAAATAGACTGTCCACGGTATTTGGTAAGAGGCACGGTAAGTTTTTTGAAGCTGTAATTTTATCACAATGTTTGGAAAATTAAGAAATTAAATAAAAAAATGTTTTTCACATTTTTTCTTGTACATATTTCTTACAATGAATATTTTTTTCTTCAATTAAAAAAAAAATAAAATAAAATGTGTGTGTGTGTATGTATATATATATATATATATATATATATATATATATATATATATATATATATATAAAAATTTTATTTTAATTTTTTTAATTGAACAAAAAAAAAATTATAAATATATATATATATATATATATACACACACACACAAACACACACATTTTTTTGTTTTTGTTTTTTTTTGTTTACATGCTTTCATGACAGTAGTTCAGTATCAACACAGTGTGTGAGTGTATGCGTGTGTGTGGGGGGGTTATCAGAGATTTTTTTTTTACACTGTTATTGCTCATGACAGTGACAATCACTGTTAAGAGTAATAGTTAACTGTTGTGAATGGTTTTCCATTCATGACATCTTGCTTGCTGTTGACCTTCTGTGATTTGGTACAGCTAATCACATGGTACAGGGTACCCAGGTACCATGTGATAGCGGTGGGCCAATCACAGCATCACAATAGTAAGCAAAACAGTCATGAATGGAAGCCATCCATGACTGTTTTGCTTACATTGTGATCATGTGCTCCCTATGACCATTCATAGCGATCACATGATAACCTGACCACCATGATTCGCTGTGTCCACTGGACACAGCAGTCACAGGATCGTGCCCCTGTGCGGCCCAGTGATCATGTGCTCCCTATGACCAATTATAGCGATCACATGATACCCTGACCACCATGATTCGATGTGTCAACTTCACACAGCAGTCACAGGATTATGCCCCTGTGCAGCCCAGTGATCATGTGCACCCTATGACCAATCATAGCGATCACATGATACCCTGTCCACCATGATTCGATGTGTCCACTTCACACAGCAGTCACAGGATCGCACCCCTGTGCAGCCCAGGGGGCACACTAGTGCGCATGTCCTGGGCTACATACCAGTACATCACTGTGCCGCTCATCTGCAGTAAATGTACTGTGGGTGGGTGGCAAGCAGGTAAGAAGCAGGGGCGGACTGACAACTCATGGGGCCCCCGGGCAATAGGGGATCATGGGGCCCCTGTGTCCTTGCCCACACTCAAAAAAGCCTATGAAAAAGGTACCAGGGGTATCTCATGGGGCCCCCTACTGACCCCGGGCCCTCGGGCAGTGCCCGAGTGTCCGAATGGTCAGTCCGCCCCTGCTCAGTACTAGAATGAGGACTAAGAGACACTTACTAAATTAATCAAAATTATGTTTACTGAGAGTGTAGTTGTCCCAGTACAGGGTTGGGCTTTGAGACCAGTAGTTTCCAAATGGTCAGTCCGCCCCTGGTAAGAAGATGCAAAGAGTTCCTTTAATGGCATCCAAGCATGCAACCTCCTGTTTTCAGAATGGCACAGGTCCTGGAAACTAGTGGAGATCACTGTAGTAGTGGTGCCTACAAAAGTGATTTCCAGCTTCCATTGGGATCACAGGTATGACACATACATACTTCCATTGGTCCAAGCACAACTATGGAAAACTGCCATATCTGGAATTCAGCTTTAAAGCAGAACTGTAGCCAAAACATTTGTTCTAGCATTGGATAGAATTGCGAAGGGTTAGAAATGTAGAAATTTTGGAGGCTTTCCCACCACCCTGTCCAGAACTAAAGTTAAGTTTTCAGATTGTTATATTGACCTTGTGTACATTTGTTAATCTGATGACTTCTAAGGTGAGTTTCATCCAAGCTAGACCAGTTGAGTTTTTCTTACCTTCCTTCCATTCAGTCATTGTACTTGCCCTTCTTTGAACCCTACACCTATGTATAGTTGGTGATGGCATGGTCTGACCCAGGATATAATACCATATTTCTTTGTCCTTGCAGGATCTGCTGCGGGTTCCTTGGCGCTTTCTTTGTCTACCTGAATCGGCAGGTGGTGCTCGGTATCCGAAGGAACCAGACCTTGAGTACCTTCCTAAGCCGCTAGTAAGTTCCACAAGACTGAAATGTGTTTGATTACTCTCCTAGTACTGCTTTTAGATGGGTCTTCTCTGCTGTGGTCCATCCAGACCTGGTCTGGTCCTTAAGATTAAAGTGTTACTAAACTCACAACAGTAAATTCCTTCAGTAAATGCCTTCCTCTGGATCAACTGTGGGTATACGATTCTAACTTTTTTTTTTTTCTATGGTTGAACTGGATGGACTTTTGTCTTTTTTTCAGCCAGACTAACTATGTAACTGTGTAAAATCAGTCTGTAGATGCAGTAAAGCATGCTTGTTATACTCACTGTGGAACCTAAGGGGTTAATCCTCTGCATTGTGTAAATATGCTGTTTGATTCTGACTTCTCTGATCCTCCCCTTCTTCCAGTGTCCTGCTCTTATATTCTGATAAGATTTTTGTGGAATCACTCTGCATATATTTCAGTTTGGTGTATATTGCTAGATACGTTTTTTTTTTTCTTGGGAGAGTGCATGTGATCAACACAGGGCTAATCAGCACTGTCCAGACAGAGGGTCAGGGGTCAGGCAGCCTCAAAGGACAATCAGGAGAGAATGAAAACTCCTCCTACAAGCTTTAACCAGTGCTGTGCAAGACACTGATAGAAGTCAGAAGACTGCTCTAATATAATTGCATTTCCATGTTGTGTGTACTGTGGGAGACTGGATATAGTGAATGCAGGGTCCGGGGAGAGCAGACATATTGAATGCAGGATCCGGGGAGACCAGATATAGTGAATGCAGGGTCCAGGGAGACCGCATATAGTGAATGCAGGGTCCTTGGAGTCCAGATATAGTGAATGCAGGGTCCAGAGAGACCAGGTATAGTGAATGCAGGGTCCTGGGAGACCAGATATAGTGAATGCAGGGTCCAGGGAGACCGCATTTAGTGAATGCAGGGTCCTGGGAGACCAGATATAGTGAATGCAGGGTCCGGGGAGACCGAATATAGTGAATGCAGGGTCCTGGGAGACCAGATATAGTGAATGCAGGGTCCAGAGAGACCAGATATAGGGAATGCAGGGTCCAGAGAGACCAGATATAGTGAATGCAGGGTCCAGAGAGACCAGATATAGTGAATGCAGGGTCCGGGGAGAACAGATATAGTGAATGCAGGGTCCTGGGAGACCAGATATAGTGAATGCAGGGTCCAGAGAGACCAGGTATAGTGAATGCAGGGTCCGGGAAGACTAGATATAGTGAATGCAGGGTCCGGGGGGACCGAATATAGTGAATGCAGGGTCCTGGGAGACCAGATATAGTGAATGCAGGGTCCAGGGTGACTGGATATAGTGAATGCGGGGTCTGGGGAGAGCGGAAATAGAGAATGCAGGGTCTAGGGAGACCAGATATAGTGAATGCAGGGTCTGGGGAGACTGGACATAGTTAATGCAGGGTGCGGGGAGACCAGATATAGTGAATATAGGGTCCGGGGAGACCAGATATAGTGAATGCAGGGTCTGGGGAGACCAGATATAGTGAATGCAGGGTCCGGGGAGACCGGATATAGTGAATGCAAGGTCCGGGGAGACCGGATATAGTGAATGCCGGGTCCGGGGAGACTGAATATAGTGAATGCAGGGTCCTGGGAGACCAGATACAGGGAATGCAGGGTCCGGGGAGACCAGATATAGTGAATTCAAGGTCCGGGGAGACCAGATACAGTGAATGCAGGGTCCGGGGAGACCAGATATAGTGAATGCAGGGTCCAGGGAGACCGGATATAGTGAATGCAGGGTCCAGGGAGACCGGATATAGTGAATGCAGGGTCCAGGGAGACCGGATATAGTGAATGCAGGGTCCGGGGAGACCAGATATAGTGAATACGGGATCCAGGGTGTCCGGATATAGTGAATGCAGGGTCCGGGGAGACCGGATATAGTGAATGCAGGGTCCAGGGAGACCAGATATAGTGAATGCAGGGTCCGGGGGGACCAGATATAGTGAATGCAGGGTCCGGGGGGGACCAGATATAGTGAATGCAGGGTCCGGGGTTTAATAACACTTTAAGCACTTTGTGCAAAACGCAACAAGGGTTTTTCTTTGATGTCTGTACATCTTCACAATTAATCTTACGGCTGAGCAAGACAAACAAGAGAATGAAGCACTTTCATCTTACAGAAGGGGGTGAAAGTGCCCAGTACTGAAGTGGTTAAAAAAAAAATTAAAAAATTATCCCTGTCAGATAAAGGCATAGGGGGGGATTTACTAAAGCTGGTTCACTCAGAATCTTGTGCACCTGTGCGTGGGAGCCAATCAGCTTCAACCTCATCTTGTTCAATTAAGCTTTGGCCGGAAAACCTGGAAGCTGATTGGTTTCTATGCACAAGTGCACCCGATTTTGCACTCTCCAGGTTTAGAATAAAAATCCCATTATATGCTAGTATGTATCACATATTAGCACATTATGAAAGACTTACCTTGAAACGAAGTCCTCCAGTGAAGAGCTGTCACCGCAGAAAAGGCTTCCATCTTCACCTGGTCCTCCTTACAGGTTCGAAGCGCGATGACGTCACTCTCACACATGCGTGTTGGCGTCACGGCCGCGGTACAGAGCTCTGAAGGAATGGCACGGATATGTCATTGCTTCAGAGTACATGCGCCAGTGACGTCAACTGCTGCCAACCACACAAATATCTCCTAAATGGCGCACGTTTGTATTTACCCTACAGGTAGGTTTTATTAAAATCTTATCTGTGGGTGAAAATAAAAATCTGGAGTTTATTATCACTTTAAAACAACACCTTGGCCAGCAGCCCTTGCAGCACAACACATAGGGTGGTCTGGTATAGCAAGCAAGACAGAAGCACGCATGACCATGTATCATGAATAAAACATTCATGATACTCACATGCAGAAAAGAGCCAACATACAGACACAGAACTCTTCTGACTAATGGGAATTCTTGGAGTTCCGGTCAGTCAGGGGAGTTTCATGTCTACATGCTGGCTTTCTCTTTTATGCTTGTGAGTGTTATTTATGTTTTATTCATAGAAACAGTCAAACACGCTTCATGCATTGCGTTCTGCTTTTTTCTGTCTTGCATGATTGTTCCTGTGCCTTTCCCGAGCCCGGTTCATTGAAGCGTGGAGGCCACATTTAGCAGTAGCAGTATGCGTTGGTCAACTTGACAATAACTCTATGATTCTAAGGCAGTGGCCTCCACTGATACCAACAAGGAGGCACCATTTCTTCCACTGGCACCAACTATGGGGCATTTTTCCTTCTATTGACATCAATAATGAGACACAATTCCTCCCACTGATACAAACAGTTAGGTACTATTCCTTCCATTAACTCCAATGATTGGGCACTATTCCTTCCCCTGACACCAATGATGGGGCACTATTCCTTCCCCTGACACCAATGATGGGGCACTATTCATCCCACTGACACCAATGATGGGGCACTATTCCTCCCAATAATATCAATGATGGGGCACTATTCCTTCCAGTCACAACAATGATGGGTCACTATTCCTCCCCCTGACACCAATGATGGGGAACTATTCATCCCAGTGACACCAATGATGGGGCACTATTCATCCCAGTGACACCAATGATGGCTGATGGGACACTATTCCTCCCACTAATATCAGTGATGGGACACTATTCCTCCCACTGACACCAATGATGGGACTCTATTCCTCCCACTGGCACCAATGATGGGGCACTATTCTTCCCACTGACTGATACAAACAGTTAGGTACTATTCCTCCAACTAATACCAAGGATGGGGCACTATTCCTTCCTATGATACCAATGATGGGGCACTATTCCTCCCCCTGACACCAATGATGGGGCACTATTCTTCCCCCTGACACCAATGATGGGGCACTATTCTTCCCCCTGACACCAATGATGGGGCACTGTTCCTCCCCCTGACACCAATGATGGGGCACTATTCCTCCCCCTGACACCAATAATGGGGCACTATTCCTCCCTCTGACACCAATGATGGGGCACTATTCCTCCCACTAACACCAATGATGGGGCACTATTCCTCCCATTGTCACCAATGATGGAGCACTATTCCTCCCACTGACACCAATGATGGGGCACTATTCATCCCAGTGACACCAATGATGGGGCACTATTCATTTCAGTGACACCACTGATGGCTGATGGGACACTATGCCTCCCACTTACACCAATGATGGGGCACTATTCCTCCCACTGACACCAATGATGGGGCACTATTCCTCCCACTGATACCAATGATGGGACACTATTCCTCCCACTAATACCAATGATGGGACACTATTCCTCCAACTAATACCAATGATGGGGCACTATTCCTCCCACTGATACCAATGATGGGGCACTATTCCTCCCACTGACACCAATGATGGGACACTATTCCTCCCACTGATACCAATGATGGGGCACTATTCCTCCAACTAATACCAATGATGGGGCACTATTCCTCCCACTGATACCAATGATGGGGCACTATTCCTCCCACTGACACCAATGATGGGGCACTATTCCTCCCATTGACACCAATGATGGGGCACTATTCCTCCCACTGATACCAATGATGGGGCACTATTCCTCCCACTGGTACCAATGATGGGGCACTATTCCTCCAACTAATACCAATGATGGGGCACTATTCCTCCCACTGACACCAATGATGGGGCACTATTCCTCCCACTGACACCAATGATGGGGCACTATTCCTCCCACTGATATTAATGATGGGGCACTATTCCTCCAACTAATACCAATGATGGGGTACTATTCCTCCCACTAACTCCAATGATGGGGCACTATTCTTCCCCTGACACCAATGATGGGACACTATTCCTCCCACTGATACCAATGATGGGGCACTATTCCTCCCACTGATACCAATGATGGGACACTATTCCTCCCACTAATACCAATGATGGGGCACTATTCCTCCCACTGATACCAATGATGGGGCACTATTCCCCCCACTGACACCAATGATGGGACACTATTCCTCCCACTGATACCAATG